GGCCAAAGAATCTGTAGAATACTATTTTCTCACTATACATCATTAATAACAAACACTTGCTTTTTAAAGATAAGCTTTCCAATGTCTGCAATGCTGTCTTGAGGCAGATGATGGTCAAGCAGGCAAAACCAACAGTCACACTACCAGTTCCAATAAAACCCTTCCTTGGGGCAGCTGAGTATCACATCAAGCAAGAAAGCTTCTTCTGAGCTATGAGTTTTTAATACAGTGGAAACTTTTAGCAAACCACTCAAACATATTATTTTATTCATAAAGAAGTTACTGTCTTGTCAGATACTATATGGGGTTAATATCTTCCCTTTCTCTGGAAGACAGCTGTCTAAGAAGGTTAACTACAATACATCAAGTACCAACTGTTTAAGAAATATAATGTCAAAAAAGATAGAGGAATGTAAATTTTCCAGTTTTGATTAAAAAAAAGATTAATTTATCAAATAATTTAGACTAAGATTCATTCTATAATATTTTGTAGATGGAATCATTAAAGCAACATTACATTTTTGCTATTTAAATTAATCTGTTCCATATGACATCAAAAAAAAAAAAGAGAAAACTAATTGGTTGAAGAATTCTTGGCATAAGGTCAAAACTTTGTAGATTATTATAAAGAGGTGAAAATTATACTATGAGGATTATATATACAGAACACTTATATTGCAGGTGCTCTAAAATTTTGTTCTAAAGTGCAGACAGTTTGGAATAATTGCTAACATCTATATTGCAGGTGTTCTAAAATTTCAACGAATTTCAGATTTAAAAGATGCTAAATATGATTTCTTGCTATGTGTCTAGCTACATATTAGGCAGCATCCTTTGGGAGGGGAATACTATCTAAGAGAGGAAGCATTATGATGTCTGAATTGAGCTATAAGTGCAGACAGTTTGGAATAATTGCTAACATTCCAAAATTTGTGTACAATGTGTAAAAAAGTAACACAAGCTGTTTCACATTTGGAATTCCACTCCCACAAGGTTTCTAGCAGTTTTCTTGTACAACACAAACAATTCTAGCAAGTTGGGTCACTGGAGGTGCTTATTACGCTCAGTAAAGAACATTATCTTGGTGTACTTCTTGGCATCTGGCTAACATCTGTTGTTTATTCAGGAAGGTCAAGTAAAATTTTTTAAAGCCACTCTTTCTATTGTTCAAAATATTTAGTACCAATCCATTTCCTACACATAGTAGATTGTGAATTCAGAATGTGACAAAGTGCTTGTTCTGAGATGCAAGCCATGAATAAAACTGTTCCTATCAGCACTGAAATTCCTATTTAGTAAATAAAGAGTATTTAACAATCCCCTAAATATTGGTCTCCTTATTCTACATCATAGCGAAAATGATCGTTCTCAACATTCAGTCCCGTTATTACACCTGCAGCTATGAGCCTCAGAAGCTTTCCTAGCATATGTGCAGCTGGAGCATATTCAGCAGATAAGCATGTACTTCTTACGACAGCGCAAATGTAATGAGAAGAAGAAACGCATTAGCTACGAGATAGAGAAGGGGGTACTGCTGTTTCTTTAGCAAGACAATACAAGTATTTTGTGTGTGCCACCTGCTACTGTGTGCATGTATGCCACCTCTTGGACAGGGACTACTGCTACAAGAAAGCCAGGCCACCAAGAGACAGTGAGGGACTGCAGAATCCTCAAAGGGGGAACTAAAGCAAATTCCACAAATCAATGCAGAAACTCCACCCAAAATGGCGATACTCTCTTCATGCAGCTGCAGCAATGAAAATGTCAAGCATCAAGTTAAAGCAGGATACCTGCCATGCCCGATTGATGTTTGCTGATAAATATAGTAAATTTCTCATCTTAAAATACTACAATATGGAAAGATATTGCTATAGTATTCTGAGCAAAGACTAAAAACACAGCGCAGGTGAAACCTTTAAAAATCATTAAAAAAACCAAATCTTCGAAATGTTTTCCTACCTGAGTTTGCTATCAGAAGTATCAAAATAACGTCAGAAAGAGGAAGGTGATTGGCAGAATATGTCAATCTCAGAAAGCTACTTCAGACCATACAATACATACTCAAAGTCGGGGAAAACTATAAAAGGGAGATGAGCAGAATTTCCTGTATCCATGCAACCATTATTATACTATTCACACGGACTACCCATTGCCACATTGTGATTAACAGACTAGCGCAATAAGGAAAAAGTTGCAATCAGGTTACATGAAGAGGACTGAATATCCCTGCTGATTACAAATGACAGCTGATTCTTTCAGTCAGGTCTGCACTTCGAAAATGCACCAACTCGGAGGACAGAGAAGCCCTCCTTGGAAGTAGGAGGGCCAAACTCAGTGCCGCTGTCTTCACATCCCATACGCAAGCAAATCAACACAGCCTTGCTTTTTAATTAAGAGTTTACTATCATCCATCCTCACTGCTAAGATCTGCAACATGACATTATAAATATTTCTCAAATATAGATAAGCACAGACCTACATATCATTATCAACTCCACACTCAGTCAAAAGGTGCCCACCAAGTATTACACGGCACAGTGAAATGAACCACACACTCGCAGACACGGAGGCATCCGTACACCGATGCTGGCTTTGAAATTAAGAGAGCTAATACAGAAGCGTAGGGCTTGAAATGTGTTCCATTTGACAGAACTCTCAAGTATTCTTGTTCCTTCAAGATCCACATTAAACTGGATTTCTACCAACCATCATCAAAGTTCCAAATAAACTAACACTGCTCCAGTATATTAGATACTCATAAGTAAACAAACAAAAATTAATTTCGAGCAGATCACTTCAGATTTCTCTTTCACTGACATCGTTATGTCCTGAATATGTGGGAAGCCTTGATTATCAGCTTCACTTTTGCAGCCGGGTCTCTGCTTTTAGTGTACCTTCTGAAAAACAGCTTTTATGTTCCTTTTTTCCTCCCTCTTCAAACATACTGTTTTCACCACTCTGAGCCTTCTTTTTCTTTGCACCAGCAACACTCCAACAGAAGGAAAGACCACCTTGATCAGTGAGTTCTGTCTTCTGCAAGAGACATTAAGTCTGGCGAGGTCTCCAGAAAAGCTGTTTAACATAGAATACACCTGCCCCCACACCCTTCAGTCTACAACAAACTTAAAAACCAGTATTGAACTGCTACAGCCATAGCTAACATATGCCAGAAGAATAAAATGGGAGACACTAAGGACAATACTTGACGTCTTCAATTCCCTGCTATTGCAGGAACATAACTAGATTCAAATATTCCTACTTAATAGACCATGTCCATGTTACCGGAAACGCCCACCAGACTGCCATTCTTGTATGAGAGAAATTCCTTCTTGATTTCAAATCCGGCCATGGGTTGAATACCAAGAGCATGTCCATGACGTTTTTAATCAAGAGTTTTTTAAACCACTGAGAGCTAGGCCAAACTTTGAAGTTCAACGTTTTTTTTTTTATTCTCCACTGACAGAACTGACTCCACCCAATTCAAGGCAGGGAAGTTTGAAGAGTTTTTTTCTGATTCTATGCCAAGCAACCAGTTTTTACATAACTGTCCCCACCCCCATTTTAGTTTTTAAAGTTTTACACAAACCACTGAATATAAGATTCTCCAGGCAAGGTGGAAAAAGAACTCCATCAACTACTTAACAAAGCTGCCCTTTAACATCAGTGCCCAACCAACTGGTGCTTCATAAGCTTACCACGTGATGATATGAAACCCACCAACCAATATTATCTAATATTAAACACATGTAATACTTTCCAGTTATCATGCTAACCATATGAGGAGACAAATATCAACATTTTAATGGAGGCCACATGACGTCATAAATGACACGCAGTGCTTTGAGGCATATAAAAAGTACAATTTGGAGAACTGAATTAAAAGTGAACGTGCAATGTACAGCTCTCAGGAACTGGCCAATTCCTAGACACTGAGCTGGCAAGCTATGTCCAAGGAATTTATTACAACTTCTATATTCTGTAATTAAACAAATTAGTTTGTGGGGCTTTTTAGTACTGAAAGTTTGATATTTCAAAGTAAATGGTCTTCCAATTGCTCATCGCTATACATCAATATAATACTATAAGACATCACTTTTCAGGGTATAATGATGATAATACATTTTAAATTCTTTGATTAAGCCACTTGAGTAATGACAAAAAGATCAGACCTTTCCAAACATAAAAATACAAAGAATCAACATCTGTCATCTACAGAAACGGCACAAACGTCATTTAAAGTGATCACATCAAACATCATCCATCATTCATCTGTAAATTCACTTCATCATATCTAATCCAAAACTCTGAGTATTAACAGGCAGTCGTAGAAAAAACAGTGCATTTTAGCAACAACCTATCACCTGACAAATACAAGTATCTACTACTTGTTTAAGCACAGAATTGGGTTTGGATCAAAATTTAAACTTACTTTTCAATTTATAATTAAAAAATAGTATGTTCTTGTTGATTTAGCTAACAGGTATATAACAGAACTCAAGTCAAGTGACTGACTTACCTTATGTTTTTTAATTTCTGGTTGGTACATCTATTCTTCCAAGAGCAATCTTTTCAAAAAACTACCATTTCATTTCCAACAACAACAACAAAAAGAGATAACCTTTTCTGGCATCTCTACAAAGACACTAATGTCATTTTGACAACAAACACCATGACATTGCTATTTTACAAAGTCTACTCACAAAATGGTCATTAAAATAATTTTGTTTAACAAGAAGTGGTAAGTACATGTTGTAAAATATTAGAAATAGGCAATTTTTCAGCAATGAATCTATTCTTCACTGAATTAAAAAAGCTGCTCTTTGTCTGAATAGTCTTCTATGGGTTTAAGATTCTTAAAGGCACCATCACCATAAAAAATTGAAAATGTTTTCCCTATGTTAATCTGACAAAGATATAAGATGATAGAAAACATGAAGATCATATCTGTAGAACTGCAAGGGAATGTATATGCCTTGGAAATCATTTGAGTGAAAGGATACAAGTTTTGGTATAATGGGATTAATGATTTCAATGCACGGCTTGCATTTATAGCTGTTGCGCGAACCATAATAGGAAGAATTTTTCCATTTACAATAGCACCATCAAAGAGTGGACCAAAGAACGGAACCTGAATAAAAAATTAAGAAATTCAACATAAAGCAAGTTCTTAGCTATAACAATTAGCAATCAACATTAACAATAGAGCACTCAAATATATAATTTTTTTTCTCCTCATCGCTAGATAATCAGACCAGTTATTGTGCTCCATGACAGACCTTTCCTCTTGTGGAAATATACAGCCATATAACTGCTTGATATCCTTGGTAACAGATAACACAGCATTTGAAGAAAATTAAGCAACTATTTGAATACTGTGCCTCAGCAAAGCTTATTTCCAACATTTACTACCAAAATCCTAGGAACAGTCATGCATATGATGTTTACAAGGTTCAAAGGTTAGATGACAATATTGTAGGTGGTAGTAAGCAAAAGGAATAATTACTCAAATTTTAAAATAATATTTATCCTAGCTTTAGATATAACATGTCCACAAGGACCAACTCCGTGTGCAACTGTCATACAATTACTGGCAGACCGACCTTCACCTTCCATTTTCTTTTCTTCTTCTATCTGTTCTTCTTCCTTTCTATGATATCTATACAAAAAGACTGTAAGCCCTTTACAGGAGAAGTCTGTAGAGAAAGTTTGGCCTCTTTGGACCCTAAGCGTAAAGCCTTATTTGTGAGATCCACAGAAAACCTTGATGTTTAGTATAGGTAGCACTTAAAAGGTTTACTGAACAGATGGATCTTAGGTTTTGGAATTACATTTTTCTCCAATCATCATTATGCAATTAAAAAAAAAAATTAAAACTCTATTAAAGTATCTTCATTTCCTGTACATGTGAATAAAGTTCTGAACCTGCTAGCATAAAGCGTGTGAAGAAGAGCAAAGTTTGTGCATCAGATCAGCAAAGGGAACAGCGTGTACACTAAATATTCTTCCTGCTAATATGAAGACAATACTGCAGAAGAATTTTAGATCCCTGTATTATTTTTGCCATCAGTCATTTAACATAGTTTTAAGAATACTGAAATCTGATGGAAGATACTTCTTTTTTCATGTACAAGGACCCCTTTTTGGACTAACAATTTCTGCTCTCAGCTCAGCAGTTTTCTTTTTCCCTCTTAGCCTGCACACCCCCAGCAATACAAGTCTGTACTTTTAAGTAGTAAGAGAAAGAATATGCTTATTAATTAAAAATGCAAGTAACCCAGTCATAACACGACCATGTACTGGATATAATTTCATGCCTATCATCAGATAGAGGGAATCCTATTTCTGTCATACCTCATTTATTAATGTCAGTGCTTCCAGAAAGAATTCTAATATTTAAAGTATAGAAACTCATGGCAAGTGACATCACACACAGAAATTATGCAGTGCAAACGCTCATGACTACTTTTACTCAGTCAGTGTTTGCTACCCTAAACCACTAGTTTAAGAACAGGACCAGCACAGACATTTGAGGAATAGTCATTAGAAAGAGTGCGTGTTCATACGCCTAAGAGTTAAGTGGTCTTGCTTTGCTAAATTAATCTCCAAACTCTTGTATGGAATCAAGAAGAAAGTGACAACTAGCTTTCAGAAGAAGAAAGAAGAATATGACATGGATGGAGAAAGCTGGAGCAGGCTATTATTCAACTCCTAGTCACGCATCAAATTGATAAAAAAGTTCATCAACTTCATCTTAATATTTAAATTATTACACAGGATATTCTAGATTTGTTTCCACTTTACGATGTTAGCAGATATACTTGACAGGATCAGGCCTTTGCAATTTCAAGTTACTGATTTTACTATGCATTGTACTCACTGAGCTCTTCTTCTTCATCCTACCACCACTGCAGTTGTCAATGTTAAAGACGCATCACCTTGTTGGATCAATCTATTATACCAAAAACTCAGACTCTAAACAAAACTCAATTCATATTAAACGTATGAAGGAAACACAAAAGGAAAAAAAAACCACCCTTACCTCAGGCTTTTTCATGATCTGGATACTGAACATATGGTTTTTCATGGGATAGATAACGATAAGAACATCACCAAATTCTGTTGGAATTATTCCTCTTCTATAATCTCGAGTATGCTCTGACCAGACAATGTGTACTTCATCATTTCCTAAATGTCTTAGCTGGAAAATCAGGGATAAAACCTCATCAGTTTAAATATATTCTGTAGCCACACAGCTATATTAAATACTCATATTCCAAAAGGACAAACCCACTAGAAAGAAATAAAGAAAAATGAATAAAATAACCAAACTACACCACAGTTCCCTTATTATTTCAATGACAGTATTAGTTCACAGTATTGGTTTGTGCTATAGATTTTTTACACATTGGTGCCAACGTCTATTTAAATTAACAGATATATGAACGTTTTCTACTGAAAGCTAAAATTTTGTCAATATTATCTCAAGAACGCAGAGTGATTCAATCTGATTTACTAAAATGCTTTGAAGATTGCAATCGCTGACAGGCAGCAAATTACTAAATTCTGTATGATTTTTTAAAGTATATAAATGAACATCTGTTTAAAAGCTACGTATCTGAGAAGTCTTTAACCTCATCATTCTAGCCAAATTCCAAACTGGCCTACTAAAAACAAAAAGCTCATAAAGGAGAACAGCTATTGCATTTTCCACAGCCCCTTCATTAACTAAACTAAATGCTTATTTCCCATGAAATCTGTATACCTTTAGAAAAATAACTCACACTGTTCTCAAAAATCCCAAAATGGCTCTTGATTTGGCTCAGAATGGCCAAATGGGCTCCTCAAAATCCATGCTGTATCCTCCATTGTAAACATGTAACCAAATTAAGGAACATCTTGAACACTTTGGAATTACCTGCACCGAAGCTCCAAATTTCTCCTTCTGCTAAACACTACCATCTGATAAACAAATGTTAACATCATGGAGAGAGGCTTTATGTATACTGACCAAACACATTCAGATTATTAAACATGAGTTTCTTTCCAGTAAGGGCTACTTCTGAAAAGTCAAGCTGGAATCTCATTTTTAACTCCTTGTGGATTACGAGTTATAGCTGACAATTGTCTTCACCCACTGTTTTCAGTTTGTTTGCACAGCTTTAGGTAGGTAGAATTTGTCAAACAATTGCCTTGACGTTATTCAAAGGACAGCACGGTGAACTGCTGTTAACAGGTAACACGCAGATACTAATCTGAGCACTTACAAGAAGTTATTGTATATAAAATGCAACAATTTTCTGTATTCAATTTCAGAACATAACTGCACTTTAAATAAAAGCAGAACATATACACAGTCATCAGAGACATTTCATTGCAAGCATTCACTTATTTATATTACAAAATCTCCTGGAATGCTACCTTCGTCTTATCTGAAGGCTTATACCAGTTGTCAGCAGGAGACAAAAAAAAAAAAAAAAAAGGCACCTCTGCTCTTCTCTGCTGGCTTTAAATTGTATCAGACTGAAAAACAGGGTTGTATTTCTACAAGAAAAGGATTTTTTTTAGTGTTGGACTGGGCCAAGGACAGATGGCATCAATACCCTACATCTTGTCTGATGCTCAACAACTCATCTGTTTTGCCTGGACCAGATCATACACACATCTCATCTCCAATGACCGCAGTTCCTTTGAAGTGAGCTGTTTTTGCGTCTTTTGTAGATGGCTGAATTATTTTGAACAACACTTAGTTAGGCATGCTCTTGTGCCAACAGTAAAACCCAACCCAACAAAAGAATTGGTTATGACATTCACCATGCTGAGTTTTATTTGTATAGATTAGAACAAAACCGGGCAGCAACGTAACTGACTGATGTACAACACACAAACATCAGCTGCAGAACCTCGGATGACACTTAGCAGTGACAAATGTCGTATGTGACAATGAACTGTGGAATTGTTCTGAGGCCCCGAACCTCTCCTACCTTCCTAGGTGAAATGACAGTCAAACAATTTGTTGAAATATGACAATGACAGAAGGGCATGAGGGACTGATGGGCCTGTACTTAGAAGCAAGCGAAAAGCTCAGGAAGCATGAGGCTGCCTAACCAAAGAGAAAGCAAGAGGAAAATCAGTTTAGATATGAAATCTTGTGGAACCTGAAAAAAACGACATGATCCTAGATTGAGGGATAGCCATCTCATGCACTGACTTGAACTGAACTCATTAAAATGACTGCCAAAAAGAACTAGAATGATACACTCAGCACTGCACCCCTCCTAATTCAGCAAGATTGAACTAATTACTAGAAGAATTAGCCTTCCTTTACTTACTATCTTTGGACTCAAAGACAACAAACTCATACACTGTTCCAAACAAAGGACCGTGACAGTGCACATGTCGAATAAATAGCTTTAAAATCCAAAATATATAGAAAGTTTAGATAGTGCAGCTTCTTGAGGGCATCACTGCCTCTGAATTTCATTTATCAAAGGTCGCCGCTATGCACCTATTACTGATACCTGCAGCTAATCAGACAGGACATAAGTTCTTGCACTTCTGTGAAAGCTCTACCCAGACAGAGTATCGCTAGTGATGCATGGTTTCACATCAGGATGACACAGATTTTGGTGTGATAAAAGTTTATTGTGGGTTTATTTCAGGAGGAGGACTAGTAACAAGGGACATGTATTTTTGGATGCCAAATGTACTGAAGCTATCAGTGACTTCTCTCTCCAATTTGCTTTATACCTCCACAGAAGTGTGAGGATACATTCCAGGCTAAAAGCACTAACTTTTTCAGAGGTAAAGGAAAATAAGTCAGATTATTCCAATGAGTTTCAAGTCCTGTCATGTGTGTTTCACACCTTATGATTACTACCAAGAATGATTTGGCAAAGATCCAGTTTAAGTAAAGTGTAGAATGGCATCTCTGTGACATATAATGGATTGAGAGACAAAATCAGATGGTGCAAGAAGGCGGATGATGGCATAAATCGTGAATGGTGGTTTGTAACAAGATGTAAAATACTCAATCAAAACTATTACCAATGCCTTGTTTCTATTACAAGAGGTAGAAGACTGACAAACTGGAGAAAAGACGATGACTCTCAACTGGAGAGACATGGATTTGATGGATGGACCACTGGGTAGACAAGGAATTGGCTGGATGGTTGCACTCAAAGAGTTGTGGTCAATGGTTCAATGTCCAAGTGGAGACCAGTGACGAGTGGTGTTCCTCAGGGATCAGTACTGAGGCCAGTGCTATTTAACGTCTTTGTTGGCAACATGGACAGCGGGATCGAGTGCACCCTCAGCAAGTTTGCAGATGACACCAAGCTGTGTGGTGGTGTGGACATGCTGGAGGGCAGGGATGCCATCCAGAGGGACCTTGACAGGCTGGAGAGGTGGGCCTGTGAGAACCTCATGAAGTTCAACAAGGCCAAGTGAAAGGTCCTACACGTGGGTCGAGGCAATCTCAAGCACAAGTACAGGCTGGGCAGAAAATGGATTGAGAGCAGCCCTGACGAAAAGGACTTGCGACTGCTGGTTGATGAGAAGCTCAACATGAGCCGGCAATGTGTGCTTGCAGCCCAGAAAGCCAACTGTGTCCTGGACTGCATCAAAAGAAGTGTGGCCAGCAGGTCGAGGGAGGGGATTCTGCCCCTCTACTCTGCTCTCGTGAGACCCCACCTGGAATATTGCCTTTAGCTCTGGAGTCCTCAACCCAAGAAGGACATGGAGCTGCTGGAGAGAGTCCAAAGGAGGGCAACAAAGATGATCCAAGGGCTGGAGCACCTCTGCTATGAAGACAGGCTGAGAGAGTTGGGGCTGTTCAGCCTGGAGAAGAGAAGGCTCCGGGGTGATCTTATTGCAGCCTTCCAGTACTTAAAGGGGGCCTACAGGAAAGCTGGAGAGGGACTTTTTACAAGGGCATGTAGTGATAGGACAAGGGGCAATGGCTTCAAACTGAAAGAGGGGAGATTTAGATTAGATATAAGGAAGAAATTTTTCACTGAGGGTGGTGAGGCAGTGGAACAGGTTGCCCAGAGATGTTGTGGATGGCCCATCCCTGGAAGTGTTCCAGGCCAGGGTGGGTGGGCAACCTGGTGTAGTGGAGGATTTCCCTGCCCATGGCAGGGGGTTGGAACTAGATGATCTTTGAGGTGTCTTCCAACCCAAATCATTCTATGATTCTATGACAAAAATAACAGACAAGTAAACAAAATTGGGTGTTGCTGATTTCATCTTTATGTTTGCAGATGAATTAAATTCTGGATAAGTCATTCTGTTCCTTTTTCAAGAGTAGATCACAAGAAGCTTTGACACTAACACAGTGCTCCTTACTGCTTCTTTCAGATGCCCTCACCTTGGTCAGCAAGCAAAGCTTATGAGAAAGCTTGAATGGTGGTAACTTGACTCATCAACAACACTTGATTCGTGGAAGAGATCCAATACCTGAAATTGCCTTGAAAAGCCTTCCAAGGTCTGCTAGTTTGCATAAACTTTTTAGAAAGAAGACTTTCCGTTTTTCTTCTTCATTTTTCAGTTCCCTGTTGAAGGAGCTTGAAATTGAGCAGTGCTCCAAACCAAAGCTCATCTGCAAGCACAGCAAACATTTGGAGACTCCATCATTTGCTGTAATTGTTACACCACAGGAGAGCCAGAGCCTCACCTCTTTCACCTTTAATCTGGATTCTTTGTCTTTATATTGAATTGGAAGCATCCCAGAATTCAGTGTCCTGGACACAACTGGTAAAAAGATACTGAGCTACAATCACCTCTGCTCATTGAAACCTAAAGGACAGACAGCAACGTGGTTTCCCAAGATGAAGATGTGGTCCCCACTGTTAATCTAACAGATTCAGATTTGGTGCACACAGGACATACAGGTACCACAACTGAAACCTGTCTCAATGGTTACTCAAAATTCACCACCAGTTGTGTAAGCCTCTACATCTTCACACTCATTTCCTGACCTCGTCTTCCTAAATTTACAACTTAGTATGTGGCATAAATCACAGTAAGCAAAACAAAGTGCAAATCCTTATTAGAGACATAAGGTACAGCAATAATATGAATAATAAAACTCTCTAAAATAATGTTACACTTCAAGTAACTGGTAATACACTACAGCTGAAACACCTGGAACTATATGTTACATAGAAATATTCTAAAATGTGAAATATTGCATAAGTGCAGATCAAACTGCTCTAGAGAGTTTATTATTTCAGCATAAGGGAAAACACAAAAACAGAGATGGACAAATGCAAAGAAACTGTAAAAAGGAGTTAAAGATTGGAAAAAAACATCTTTTATAGCAGCATTCTTCAAGAAGAAAAGTGTCAAGGCCAGAGAAGGAAGGTTCAGCAATCAAAACACCTGTTTAGGACACAGTGGATAAATTTTACCTGCGTGTATAGAAAGGCTATGTTGCAAGAAACGTTACGCAGAAAAAAGAACAGAGTCAAAAGCACAGACTGAACGTAAAAATCCAGAAAGTGGACCAAATTAAAGATTATTTCAGGCTATGGGCACAAGTGACAGGCACAATGGTTGTGTTATCCGTGGTGATCCAGAAAGGTGGCAATGAGAAAGAGATTAAGAGCTCTGTTTTAGCCATTTTGAACCTGAGCTGTCGGGAAGACAGCCCTGAGGAGATGTCAGAGACAAACAGATTTTTTTAGGCTTGCTTTGAAACTCTACTCCATTAAAACAAATATATAAAAATGACCGACTGTTAGGTTACCTGAAATTTCAAATTTAACTCAAAATACTTTAAAATATTCTTACTCTATAGCCATCATCATGTGTCAGCTCTCCTAATACATTTATGTTAACTGAATACAAAAGAAACGTGAAATAAATATAACCAGGAGGGATGATCAAATCTAATTTTGATACATTAGTGTCATATGCTGTACATGTTACAATAGCAGCCAGACTTAATACTAAGCTGCAGGCTATACTGAAATTTCCAAATGGCAGATTGTTCTAAGTGATACCAAGTATAATTGAAGTAATAAACGATAGTAAAAGCAAAGCACACTGTCAGGAAGAATTTAAGTATTTACTTTTTAAAATTAAATGAGTTAGGTTTGGAAAGGCAAGACAAGTGAAATAATGCAGGGCTCAATTTACAGAAAATTCCTTTTATTTATCTGTTGCATTAACCCTTGAACTCTTGCCAAAATTACTGTAATTTCTAATACCCACTTACCTAAAGGAGGGAGAAAAAAAGCTATTATGTTTTCTTATGATATAACAGCTAGCCCCAACTTTTTTCTTCTGAAAAAATGAAAGTGTTCATTATAAAAAGAACAGAAGGAGCAGAAACATCTGAAGTAATGGCTTACTGCAGCTACTTGTGTCCATTAAATGTAAGCAGCACTGCTGTCTATAGCCTATGTACCCTCTAGTTGAATTTTTCATGTAACTTTGTTGAAACAACTATGGTGTGTTTGCTGTTGTGGTTTTTTTTTTTTTAAAGTAACGTGTACTGATTTTTAACTTCAAAAAAATATTGTACTAATAATTTACATCTATAAACCTTCAAGTTCCCAATACATTTTAATATCACAATAAAAAAACTAGCTATAAATACTGGGAACTATAAATCTTTTATGTGGTTAGGATGATCTCACACATAACCTAGAATCATGTAATACACCCAAAGCCCAAGATGAATTATTATTCCAATCACTAATAACATTACTACTTTTTATTTATATATCTTGTGTATAATATTCCCACCTACAATGCCTTCACTCCTGTATCATGCTAAAGAAGGAGCAGCTAGACAGGTGATAAGCTGCAGAGGCACATACATGAGCTTTCTCACTCTGTGAACTGAGAGTCTTCACAGTTTTATTTAATTCTGAAATTTTCTTTGCAAGTTTGTTCTTGTAAAGGTAGTATAAATACTTTTTACTCTAACCTTTAATTCTAAGAAAATCAATATGGATTGCATTATCAGCATTAAGTATCTAAGTTACATTTGAAATTTAAATACCTATTTTATATATGCATTTCAATATTAAGTTCTTTTACGAATTCATGGGATTTTCATTTGTTCTCCTTGAATTCATGTCTTTTCTTGCTCTTGTTTATGTCTTCAGTAACGAATGCTTCAGAGGTATCCGAGACACTTAAAAGTTTTATTTACTACTCTGTAAGTCTGACAGAAAATAAGTTTAAAATTGGCTTAGACTCTGAAACAGCAGAATCTTGATTTTGTAGTGGCTGGGCTGGCAGGAAGAAGTTTTGGTTTAATTTAATTTAATTTCCATTTATAAGATGAACCTATCATGCACCTCTAGGCACATTTACAATATAAAAACCAGTAGCAGTTCTAAGCCAACTACTGCAAGTTTGCTTGTTTTTCTCCCATTGAATGAGACAAAGAAAGCACATGAAAGACCTGTAGAGAAGCTCAAAACTCAAGTTTCTCTGGAGGTCATGAACAGTACATGCACTCAGAACAATTACAATTGTTAGCACACACACGGCACTCAAATGATTTTGAGGTCCCATAAAGCATGTGTAAGCTGAACACCACCTCATAAAACACATTCCTTTTGCTGCTGTGTTCAGTCTAAGCAGCACAAGTAGTTGCAGAACTAGTAAAAGAATTAAGCCTGTTTTCCTACTCCTGTCTCCTGATACCACTTGCTGGCTTCTCCCAAGATGGGAACTTCAGTTGATGCTTTTTTCAAGTTTGGGATGACTTCCACAGCATGTCTCTTTGGTGCTGGTGCCTTGATGTCTAATGCTTCTTCTCATGCAGTCTTTACCTGATGAGTAGGAGCACTAAGAGTCTCTCTCACTCTACCTCCTTTACTTAGCCAATCTTCATCAAACATACATGAAATTAACACCTTGGAAACACGTCTCTATTAAATTCAATTGAAATGCGTCAAAAGGTGTTAGGGAAGGGAGGAGAGACATAAAGGCAGGCTCACAAGCCTCCACTTGTGGGGAAACTGGGCTTAGAAAGAAGAGCAAAACCCACACACTGAGGAAGAACAGGAAAGAAACTCAAACAGAAATAAAGCAGCTTGATTAAACAGCTCATCAGCAGCTGCGCTACAAATACAATCCCAATCTTTTGATACACTCTACATAACCATACCAGACCCCAAATATTCCAAAGTACTGATGAGTGAGATTGTGGGTAAAGGAGGAGAGAAATGGGCCTGAGGCAAGCTGGAGTTGTCAAAAAGTCCAGCTGACCCCATTTTCACAAGCTAAATCACAGGAAGCCTGGACCAGCACTGAACCTTGCCTGGCAGGAACAGCTATATGTAGATTTAGGGTGCTCCTGGAAACAGACATGAAATCCTGCCTGTGTATTCTGCTGAAGTCCACAGCATTTGCAAGTTACTTATTATTAATTAATTTTCACTGTGATCCATCTTCCCACTTGTTAACACATTTTAATGTTCTCTTATTCAAACATTATAAATAAACATTGTAAGGATAATTACAAGCTGTGTTTTATAAAACTACATTTCTGTTTAAAACATACAGAAGTCAATCAACTTAGAAAAATATACATATACATGCTTTTCTATACTAGAACAATAGCAACAATAGTTATTTTTGCTATTAAACCACTTTTATAAATCATTTGACAATCTGCTACTCTGGCTCTACTTCAGGAAATAAAGAACAGAAAGGACCCAGCACCACAGGCATACAAGAAAAAACATTTTTTAATAAAAAAAACCCACCAAACAAACCAACCTAAGATGCGACAGTGAGAAGTTAGAACTCATAGTCAGTCTATAATAATAACAATAACAATAATATTTTTTTCTTCAAGTTGAACACAAAGAACAAAAAAGTCATTAATAATTGAAGCTTGCCAGAGGCATGGCTATTTCTCTCTTTACTAACTGTCTACTGTCTAATTTAATTACAAGTATTAAACTCCATGCTGAGGTCAACCAGCTTCAGTTCCTCCAATATTACACTTCAACCAGCGCTCATTAACGTGTCTACTGAATGGATTAGCACATCTGAAGATGTATGTACGCAGGACGGGGGACAGTCTAATGATGGCCAATTGTTCATTTATAATAGGACACATGTTCGAGATTGTAACTTATTATCACTAATGTGGAATTTATTAAATTCTAAAGAAAAAAATACCAATACAGAAAACCATTTTTTTCTTAATATAGCTATGAGAGATCATATCACTGTTGAGCATATGTGCCTGTTCCAAGACAAAACACCTTATATGCAATAAACACTGTTGAAATTTTAGTATTTTTAACTTTCCCTTCCAAAAAAAAGTTATGTTAATAGACAGCACGTGACTCTTAAGCGAACAAAAAGTCATCTTAGAAAGTACTCACCCCATATTTATTAAAACATCATTCAGACATAATGCTTTTTCTTCTACACAAACCATTACCTCCCTTCGTTTTTCACTACTATACATGTGATCCTGCCAACGTTTGCAATGACGGCAAAAATCACCAGTATGGCAAAATCAGAAACTGGTAGACAACTATTTATATGGCTTAACCTGCTTCAGTAAAATACCAACTATTAGCAGGTAAAAGTGTCAAGATATTACACAGGTTTTTAGAAAAAGTTACTGGATTTTCTTTTACTCTAATTTCTCTGGATTTATTATCAAAAGAAAATCTGTTATTCAGAAATACCTACCTTTTTTGTTAAAGAGTCATCTGAGTCAGACGGCATTCTTGTTGACACATGGAACATTACTTCTACTGTCGAGGTAGCAAAATATGGAGTGGTCAGCCCAGTGCTTTTGTTTTTTTGCAGTCCTCCCATAAAGCCACAATGGTTTGTGAGATTTACCTAGAAGTAAAGCCCAGGAAGCATTAGGAGAAAAAAAAAAATCATCAGGTGATAAATACATTCCTTACACTTTGAAATGCACTTTCAACTGAATTTTTAAAGATGAAGGCCTTTTTCACAACATTAGTTATGCTTTTCTAAAAGAGCTCAGACTTGCTGACTAGACTGGAAATCAACTGCAGTGCAGTGGCATTCTGTATTCCATGTTCACCACAGATGCTGCTGGGAAGACGAGGTTACAGTAAAGGAAAGGATATGTAAACAAGTATTTACTGTGTTATTCCCTGATCAGTCGACTGTAGTCACTTACATGTGCTTTTTGAATTCTTAAAAATTCTGTGATACTACATCAGCCTTGACTGGAGCTTAGAAGAAAGCCTGCGTGAGAGTCAGACAATTTTAAATTGTCTTATTACCTTCCATATACTTTCATGAGAAATTTTCATTCCGTGAATATGAAAAAAAATCACAGAAAACTAACTGATAATTCATAAATAAGTTTCCAAATCTTAGTTCTATGGGAAATAGTTTGGCATTGAAACCAACAAGCATGCTCAACGTGCTATTTCCCTTTTACAACAGTGCCTAAAGAAAACTGTATCTCAGATGTGAACACATTTAATCTCTGCCCACATGGGATATATTTGCTTTTCTGTTAATAAAAGATCCAGAATTTAATGTTAATAGGTTAAAATATTAGACGCCTTATCATGGAATATTAATCCAAATTACCAACTCTCTGATCTAGCTAATAAAGGCTAAGAGAAACAACCCACTAAAGAAGGATATTTGAAGACATTAATGTGATTTTTTTTTTCTCCTGAAGAATCAGGAATGCGGGAAATAAACATCTATGCTCATGACAGTTAGCAGACTTCTAGCAGTTTTCTTCTGTTCTTGTGCAAAAGCCAGAGCCGTTATCCACACTGCTAATCTAGTAGTGCTCTTATATAACTAAGGAGTAAGAAAAAGAACAAGATGGACACTGCTGTGGACACTCCTGGTGAACACAAGTCACAGAGGAACAGAAAACCTGCAGATTCTTATGTGGCCAACCAGGAGCAGAAGTGATTCCTGTACTTCTGTGCAACAGTGCCAAGTTGAACTTTACAAAGGAATTTAAACCTGTACGTCAGAAAGAAATGATGCAAAAAAGTAAATCCTCATTAACAGTATCAAACTGGTCACTAAAGAATTTCAGGTCCATATAGACGATGGGGTACATCACAGTATTTGTGACTGCTGGAAGAGACACGGAGTGGAGTGTGTGAACAGATACACGCCCGCAGTGGAAGGCATGAAGAAGGGGGCATAACAGAAGCTGCATGTTTGTAGTTTTTGGATTCCCAAATTTGAGCAAATTTCAATGGACTGTAGGCACTTTACTAGCCTACGGGGAAATCAAGATGCCTCCTAATCAGTCCATGAGAGACAAGTATAGGAATGCACACTGAAGAATCATCTCTGCCTGCACAAACTTTCTTACATTGAAAGAGCTTAAAATTAAACAGCTAGTATTGCTAATGAAATAAAAACTAGAATTATTCTCTACATCCTACTTGCAATACAGTGTATTTCAGTAGTTGTGAGTAATGCTAAAGAGCCAAAGACTTAAAATACTTCAAGGGATCTGTAATTTTCTCTGTAAACAAACTTAGGATAAAAACATTTTAATAAATACCTCCCAGCCAAGACCAGCTACAAAATCCTCATAGGCTTGGCTTCCCCCAGTATTAGTAAGAATGGAGTGTTTATCTTCTTGTCCCTCAGCAACATAAAACACTGCGATCTTGTGTGTCTCTCGGCTGTAAAACAGAGAATTGTCACTGCATGACAGTGCCTTTACTAATATGAAATCAAAATATGCAAACAGTACACACAGAGCATGGCTTTTAAAACATCAAAAGAGATAGTGGAAGTAAAGTACAACTATATGGCTTCTTTCTGAATACCTTCTATATTTCCATATTCCCGTTCTGTCTTTTCTAGTCTGATCTTCTCTAGAGCCTAAAGTTTTGCTATACAGGAACGGCATTTACTACCCCTTTCACCACTTCTAAGACGTAGGATGGTACTGGCAGTACCACTTGCTAATGGAATAGCTGGGCTTCTGAAATGAGCAAAACCTGTAACACAGGCATTATCGACACTGTACTGCCCATTAACAACAGTGCCTTGTGAATGCTGTGGCAAATGCAGCGGAAGCAACTGAATGAAGAACCTGTAAGTACTACAGCAATGTCTTCTGTTCACAGCCTGCTGTCAGACATTGGAGTAACTGAAGGTGGTTTCTCACACTTCTAAAACCTCCACTGGATTTTTTTCCACTTCCACAAAAACAATTCAAAGTTTTTAATTCTGTTCTACAACTCCAACTAGAATTCCATGTCTTCAGATACTAACAGCACTGGAAAACAGCTAAATATTAGCCAACGCTTAAAATGTGGAGACTTTGATATAGCAAGGGTTTACAACTATTCCATGTTATGCATATGAATGTTCATAATTTTAAATTATTTTTCAGTTTGTTCTCTCTCATGATACTCTACTCGTAGAGTTTCACTCTACAAATAACATCAATGCAACTTCAATATAACAATAACTACACTACAGTGGAAAACACATGAATAATTTACAAAACTATTTTAAAAATTAGTTCAACTCACATCCATGCAATTAGAGTCATTTAAGTACAAGCACATTTAAAACAACTAAGTAGGCAGCCATTAAAAGAATTTACCATTGTCTTGAGTCCAAATTTCTGAGTTCTCGAAGTAACTTCTCATTTTTCTTCAGGAGATGAAAGCTCCTTCTAAACAGACAAATTTGTAACTCTTATCACATGTTCACTGATGGATACAGAACAGTACAAGAACATTTCCAAGTGCATTCAAGAACAGTCAATAAATGCTTTGGCTTTTTGGTAGTCCCTTCTTATATAAAATATAAAGATATCTTCTAAAAAGATATACAAAAGTAACTTCTTTTACTCCAGGAAATCTTCTGTATCCATTATAGCCCTGAGTACAACCTTTATTTCTTTCCACTTTCTTCTGTCAACCTGTTGGATCTAACTGGGGTCAATCTCTTCTCTACAGAAGAACAGACGAAACTCCCTTAGACACACATGTAAGCTGCACATTTTATTAGGCTGTAACATACACACTCAGTAACAAAAGACACTCCCATAATCTGCTGTTTTAGGGAGTTAGTGCATTAAACACAGAGCTTTAGCTATTCTGAATTGCAGAAGAGAGCAGACCATAGCTGACTAGTCACCCAGCCAGCTGTAACAATTTTTAGAAAAAACGAAACAGTATGTTAGAGCAAGAAAGGCACTTTCCATTTCTTTTAAACTGTGCTTAAGATGTTTACCACAAAACACAGTGGAATGAGTTTAAGAGCAGTACTGTTCAAAACCAGACTGCCTTGAGGAATTAAAGACCCAAATAAGAAGGGTTACAACATCAAAATTTTTTCTGATTCCAGTGATATCTCAGTGACACAGATTACTTTTGTTTTACAGAATATCCATTTCCCTTTGTAGTAAGAAAATATTTCAATGCCTCAATTTCAATTGAGTTTGTCTTTAGGGCTACTCTGAGCCTTGCACAGCGCTGAGAAGATGGTAAGATTACTTTCCACATCTAGAATGTCTTTTCATCATCAGCTTTCTGAACCTGCAGTTAACTCTTGTGGTAGTTGTATAACACTCATCTATCCCATCCCAACTATGAAGAGATCATTTTTCCATCTTACACAAAGTAAATGACAGGTTAAGCTAAACTCCTAAAAAAAGTGATTGCATTTATCACTGAATTCTGACTGTTCAGAGTATGAAAAATGATAGTATTGAGTACAGCCTTTTCAAATCTAAACGACTCTATGATTATTAGAAAAAACATCACTCCTTCAATTTGCCTTTCAACATTGTTCTGAGGAATTAATATAAATAGCAATAAAGGCAACAGGTTCCTCCTTTCTGTCTCTCTAAATGACAGGTTGAAACACGGAAGAAAACTGCCATTTTCCCCTTAGTCGCACATTCCCTCTCCTTTTTTGTTGGCCTGGAGTATTTTCGGCTTAACCAACTCTATGATCAACTATTATTATATGGTAAGAATAGCATGATTCCTTAAAATAAAGCTCTTAAATTGTAAGTCTTATCTTTGCTTTTTACCTTTTATCCCAAGAATTCATTCCCAGTATACTGAGAAGTAATCTGCAGTAGTAAAACGCTGACTGGGGCTTTTGTGAGGTTGGCTCGTCCTGCTCCATAGCCCTCATATTTAAATCACTGAAATGCTTTTCAACAAACTCCCTCTCTTCTGTGTGCTGTTTCAGAATCGCATTTATGACATCGTTCTCCTGCTTCTCTGAAATGCAGACTGGTTGAGGAGCAGGTATGTTGAGTGAGACACCAGTTCTCTGTAAGCATTCAGGGCTTGTAACACCTAAATACTGCAGGAGCTCATCAAGGGCATCTTCTTCATCCCTAATTGTATCCCATGTTGGTACAGTGTCTCTAAATTTCCTTTTTACTTGGAGTGTAATTCCATCCCTTGCAGATACATCCTCCACATGCTCAAAAGATGAAAGAGCATCTTCTGGTTTATCTTGTTGAGATAACGAAAGTGCAAAAGACGTTTGTTGCGAAGATCCACATAAAGATGATGGTCCATACAAAATAGCTGAATCCCACGAGTATTTGCCAGATAGATCACGCACTATAATTCTCACATTCGAATTAGCAGATGCAAGTCCAGCAGACAGTCCTCCTCCAGGCATGTCATCTTCTGCTTGGATTTGTATGCAAGACACCAGGGAAGTATTGTTTAACACAAAGAATTGAAGGTTTGGGTTCTCAAAAAGTTCAGGAGAAAGTTCAGGACTTTCACTGTATGGATTGTCGTTGTTTTCACACACTTGACTGGTTAGCATAGCAGGACCTCCGCTCATAGGATAGTGGCCTAAGTGGTTGACTAGATGTGTTATCACAGTACGAGCAGCAACAGAAATTAATCCTTGTTGCATGTGAGTTTTCACTGTGAGAGAAAGAATGCGGGTTTTAAAAGAAGAGTTCAGAAAACAACACATATTTACATATTTCTTTGGGCGTCCTCTTCCCCATGCGTTAGGATACAGGCAACTCAGTAATGGAAAATATGTATTTTGATGAACATTCATATACAGAAATAGCATGAAAAATCTTAAGGTAGTTAAAGAAGCATCTTCATTATTTTACAGCCTACCATACCTCCTTACCATACATAGCTTTGTAATCAGAATGGCTCTTCTAAAATACAGTTTCTTAATCTAGCGAAAATAAATCATAAATTGCTGATGAAGTAGAGCTCATAACGGTGCTCTAAGAAGTTCATTTCCAACTGCATTGGATTTTTATATTCATACACATCATTACATTGTGAAAAACAACAGTACATAGATGCACAAAATCTCTAATCCATCTTAATTTCCCCAGGGAGCATACAGCTGCAGGTTAGGTTGAGAATAATACTGGATGATTTTTCAAGTACCATATCAAAGACCAGGCTATCTATACTGAACACAATCTAACAGTAGCAAAATGTCAAAAAGTAAATCCTGTGCCCCAACTGCATTTTAAGAAGCTTCAGTCTGGAAAAACTTAGAGAAAAAGAAGTTAATTGTGCCTATCTTAAATGAAATTCATCCTGTGAGACGCATCGGTATTTCCATATGGTTTTGCCACCTCTTTGTTGCATACCTTCCACTTGCACACAACGTTATCTAAATTCACAAAAGGAAGCTCTTAATGTTTATACCACATCCTGCTAACTGAGTACTTTATTGGCATTGGATTCTTCTACCAGATCCACTCCACATTACTCATGAAGTGCAGAGCTGGTCAAAGTGACTCTGTCAGGCAGACAACACTCAACTGGCTCAGAGTATCCACTGACAAACCCCCACACAACAGTATTACACTGTAGAAGGTCACAGGTAGAAGAGAAAACAGGATCAATATGGTAAAGCACATATTTCTGCAGCCTCTCTCTTGTAACAGGACCTGGATGCCCTGAATTTGGGATGTGCAAGGGGAAGATAAATCAAGACTTCTTCCTCAGGATTACATCGTATATTTTAAAATAGATTAAACATTGAAAACTGCTGCAAACACTTCTCATCTTCTTTCTCACCAAAAATCTATCAAACTAGAATTTGCTGAACCATGTTACTTTTTCACTCAGTATTTACCGAGAAAATAAAACCTCTTGGATGTGTGTATGGTATAATTAACCCATCTCCCTTTATATTGTGTAGTTACACACAATAAAAACTAAGGTTTAATAAATTTCTTTTTGCAGTTTAAGGTGTCTTAATTGGTTTAACTGGAAAAATAAAGGCAGATTTGTAACACATATTGAGGGTCATGACAGATCTTTAGTTTCTGATGCATTCTGCATCTGCAAAAATAAACACTATATATTTGCTTTTTTTTTTTTCTCCACAAGGTTTGGGTAAAGCATGTAAAAGACTTTTGGGATTCTGGCTCTTCTCTACCTTTAGGGAGCACTAGATCTGAGCTGCAAAAAGGGAAATGTTTAATCCAGTTAACAGTTTGAAAAATCAACTAGTTGGCAAAATCAACTTAATTTTTACACTATTCCAAAACTCAGATAAACTCAAATATTTTAATGAATTAAGGCCTTGAAAATGAATAGAAACAAATTATAAAGTTATTATCTATAACTTTCTTGAGGTATAAATTTACAAACACAAAAACATTCAGTGAAGCTGAATTAAATCTCCAGATAGTGATAGCATACAAAGAAATTAAGGTATAGTGCCATCTGCTGAAATCTAGGAAGGAACTGTAAGTAAGTTTATACAAGACAAAGAGAAAATAAGTTGGATACTTGAAGAATAATTTATCAGTGCAGTATTAACCAGCACCTGAACAATGCAGAGGCTGGGTCATCATTGTCAGGACATTTATGCCAAGTGTTTAGCACTTGGCACTGCACAGGTAAGTAAGGTAATATTCTTCTCAGGTTCCTAGGAAAAAACACGTGAGCTTCCCAGCTACCCGAAGTCTCACACTGTGTAGGTTAAACGTCTTCAGTGAACTTCTGCTAAAAAACCTGAAGAAATGAGAGGGACTTGTTAGCATATAAGTAATTACTCTTCTTGTGGCAAACTCTAAAGATCTCAAACCTGACCACACCTGTATTGTGCCTGTGTGCAAGAATTTACTCCCTTAGGAGACTAAGGGACATGCGGAAAAGAAAGGTGATAAGACAACAAAAAGATTGGAACGTCAAATTTGAATTTGGAAGGTCCATTCCCAGTCCTACCACAGTCTTTCTCTGAAAATTTTACTCCTGAATTAAAACATAAAAGAATTGGGATATAGATCTGTCATTGCCTCTTTTATAAAATGAGAACAGTACTTCTCATTGAGTCTTCTCTCAGAATACAGTATTATTGATCTAAGAATGACACTTAAATCACAAGCATTAAGAAAAGCACACTGAAAAGTAAACTGTAAAATGTAACCTGTTATGTTGAAATAAAACGAAGCGGTCTTGAATAATTTTTGCCACACAGCAAATCATATTTTGGTGATGGTTTCCCTTAGCAAAACCACCCCAAACTCAGTAATGCTTTTTGAAAATATGAGAATTTAAAACTAAATTCACAAGGTAAAGGATACATATTAGTAATTTGTTCTTGGAAGCACACCTCCTCAATGGGGAACAACTAGACATTCAATACATTGGAACTCTTGAAATAAGTATCTAAACCATGCTCTTTGCTTCTGGAGGGCAGATCAAAATATGCAATAACGCAAGCCGTCACAGCTTTACCACAAATTCTACAAACTAAGCCATACCATTACACCTTAAAGCAGTCTAGCTGGCTGCTTTACCAACCTATCTTCCTGAGTGAAAACATGTCTGCTCTCTTTCCAATGGTACAGTCTTTCACTTGGGCAATCTAACTTATCCGTGTACATGTTCACTTTGAAATTTGGTAGGAGTGTGTGATATTGGCTATTTTTCTCAGTTCCTGAAATTACTTCTTTTGTGGAAAGGCTGAAGGTCCATTACTATTAATTTCTACCAGTGGCATGAAAGGAGGATTCCTGAATTTCCTTAAGATGTGTTGTTAACGCTTTAACTTTGGCTGAACAGCTTGTAAACAACTACAGTTATGCAGTAGAAGGAAAAAGTAATGACTGAGGGTGGAATTTAACTCTCCTTGCTCTTTTAGCTATCTAAAGAATAATGCACCTGTACAGACTGATTCATCTCAGTTAGAAGCCCAAATTGGAGAAATGAGATGAATCACTATCTGGAAACTCAACTCTTTCTTCATTACATTTAGAGGGAGCCTAAGAGAGTTCAGTTTAGCTTAGCTACCTGTATTTTACATTAGCTTAAGGAAGTCTCACTCCTTTCTAATTTTTAAGCTTCAGGCATAGAGAGATGTGGTTACAGAGAATCCATCTCTAGAATATCCCTCACAAAACACAAACTGTGCTAATCTGGATGCACCACGTATAAACTGTTTTTTAAAAAGTGTACTTTTTGTCTCCTTTCAGTAAAAAGGCAAACAGCAAAGCATTAAAAGAAATGTACTTTATATTTCTAAGTTTTAAATAAAAGCTAAGACTAAACATCCAATTGGGGAAACTTTTTATTCATTAATTGAAATGTATTAGGAAAAGTGATCGATCTGTGCAAAAGAGTTTAAAATATGTTTGAAGAAATATGACAAACAGCAGAAACCCCATGAAATCAATAACTGATGGACCACTGTATCTATGCAATGCCACTGCTACCTTCCAATCACAACTATCTCTAACAGATTTATGAACAGGTTTCAAAATGTTTTTGCCTATAATTGCAAAATAATTCCCATAAAATATTATTTCCTTACAATTAGACTCTATTCAATAGTCTGATTTTGCTATTAACGTTAGAAGATGTATAGCACTTTTTGTTTAATGCTACATATTTTCACGTAACCAGCTTCCCTGTCAATATAAGGGTCACAAACCCCTCAATTTTACTTTTCCCTTAATTTTTTACATCATTTAATATAAACAACAAAAAAGCTTTTAAGGAGAGGTTCCATTTTAATTCTCCCTCATATAAGTTCATGGTCCTGTAATGACAGGCAGAAGATCAGAAGCAGGTAAACAGACCATGGCATAACACAGTCCTAGTTAGCTTTCGCACATCTAAACTGTACAGTGAATGGCTATAACGCTATACTATTCTTGGAGAAAGCACACCTCTGTCAGTGCAACACTGAATCCAGGCTAGTTAGATACGGTTAATTAGCACAGGCAGCACTTTTATGCCTGTATTGTACCTAGGGGAAGCTGATGTCGATACCAGCTAGCAGATCAGTTCATCAACCTCCACATAGACAAGCTCTGCAACTCCTTAGATGTATGAAAGCACCACAGACTTGCCATCTGCAAGTTCTGATGACACAAGAAAAGCTTCCTACTGATGTCTTTATTGCCAGCTTCTATAAGTTCATTCTGGTTTAAATCTAACACTTTAATACACTTAACACTTAATTTTAAAATTATTTTTTATGTATCTTATACTGCAATCTACCACTTTACCTGAAACCTACAGAAGGAAGGACAAAGACAATTTCACAGATAATTCTAGTTATAGCACATTCCTTGTGAGAGATACCACTTGGAAAGTTACCAAAACAGATAGAGGAACGGTCTTCGTTTCTCCCCACATCACCTGTTTCCAGAGGATTTACCAAATCTTTGCCCTGACGTTTACTGCAGGGCTTGCTCCAGCCTCTCGATAGGTCCTGTCCCCACTACACAGCTGTGTCACTAAAAGTCCCATATTTTCATGGTCTCATACCACACCATACTGTGGCTAAGTGCCCACAAAACTTGTGATGGATCTGACTTTGAATAATGGTATGTCAATCACATCTATCGAACTGATCAAAAGCACACTGTCTTAAGAATTTAGGTGTTTCAGTACTTTCAGCTTTGCTTGTGACCTAAGGAAGGAATCTAGCAATCCCCACCCTGCCTTTGTAGAATTTCCCTGATTTCCTTAGAACTGCTGTCCTGCCCATTTCCATGCCTTCAAAAAAGATACCATGACAGCACTCTTGCTCTACTAAAAAAGAAGTTGACCCATTGGCATACTGCTCTGCTGCTAGCTTGCACTAATGTACCCCCTGTCTTGATCAAGTCCCAGGCTGGTTGTTATCCACTAACTTTACTTCTCTCATTCCTCCAACAATGCCAGGGAGAACAGATGCTGTGTGATTGCTTGAGCACTGCCAATTTTGTTCTCTGCCTGGCAATGTGAACTAGAAGTGCTAAGGTTGCAAGACCAGGGTTGCATTATAATGCTGTAGTTTGCCAATTAATTCATTAATTCATGATCTGACTTACAATTCCAGAGCCCTGAAACTTTAAAAACATATGGGGCTTCCTTAATTTATCTGGAGAGATAAAAGAAATATCTGAAATTACTTTTATTTAGAAATTTAACAAGAAATCATAAAAGAACAGATCACACATGGAAATGCAAAATGAAGATATTGATGCTATGGCTTTGTGCAACTACATTCATTTAAAGAGAAATCTATTCAGGGTTGTCTTTTCAGATTGTCAGATTAAACAAGCCACATAGCATTTGCTGCTAACCTATAATTACAGATTATTACAGAATACAAAAGATGCCAGGCATAAAAAACTACTTTAATTCACTACACCGTAATAGAACATGCAGTGGAAGTTAATTTTGGCAAATGCTTTAAATATTAGCTTTACATAATATGTATAGGTGAGACTGTAATTAGGACAGAATGAATCCTTCGAAGCCTCTTTCATTCTGACCCAGCAGATGATTACTTTTTACTAATAAGACCACAGTCATTTGACAAAAAGCCAACTATAGTACCTTGCTTCATTCTTCAGTAAATTTAATAATTACAGCTCCTCCTGCCAATAGTTCTCAAATCAGACTTGTTCAATCCAATACTGAGCTTATTAGGGGACAGCTCTATGTTTAGAATTCTTCGGCCAAAAAAGTACTTGAGGACGATGAAGCATGCCTTAGACAAGGGCACAATGATTAGCCATTTTCTCTACATAAAAAACAGCACGTAGTCACTACAGACCACAAAATCACCTGCTGTTAGCACACAGCTGCTACAAAGAGCTTCTGCATTTATCTGGTTCTTAATACCTTTAAGGAAGCCTAAATGGAACAACTTAATATGGAGGGAGAATAGCACTACACAGAGTTTCTGCTATCAGTATTAACCTCATCTTTTTCAATTTTCTTCCCAATGTAGCCATTTGATATTTACTAGACACACTGCATAATCTATGCTACTTGTCGGTAGCTTAGTTTCTTGAGTCTTTATTTTTATTTTCAAGTTCTGAAGAAAATGTTAATTCCCAGGTCTCTTCAGGTTCTAAGCAGATAAAATTTCTCTCTTTTTAGATAACTCTGTGGTTTTAAACAGTGTAAACAGATCAACAACAAATTATGATAGGTTAAAAAAAATTCAGAGAGAGCTTTAAATATTGCAAGCTCAGGTAGGAAAAACATCCAAAATATTATTAGAAAAAGAAGCGAAATTAAGAAAAGAAAAAAAACAAATTAATTTACTGAAAGTAAAATGAAAAGCAACATTTAGCCATGTTGCAGTGCTTAACACTTTTTGCTGACACACAGAGCACAGAGAATCCATACCAAATTGATCTTCATGTCATTCGGAAGATTTCAGAAGTTATTTCAGATAATCAAACAGTAATTGCTCAAAATTATGTTAGCTCATTCCATACTAATGGTCCTTACCTAGCATCTAGGTATAATTTAAAACTTACGCTTTAGAGAAACACTTCAATACTGGGAAACAAGATAAAAATCTTTTGGAAAGAAAATGTATTTAGATAAGTTGACAAACCTTCGGTGACTGGCTGAAGTTTAGAAGATCGCTCCGAGTCTGGAGAATGCAGTGGTTCTGGTTCTTTCAAGCTTTCTAAATGCATAAAAGGATCGTAATCCACACATGCCAAATCAGAAAGGCTTAGAGGAAAATATTTGGGGTTGCTAAAACATTGAGACCCATAGACACATCCATGCAGAACCTAGAACAAAACCAGAATTTCATTACGTTAACTACTGAAATTTCTGCTTGAAAGTTTTACAAGAAATGAAGTTTATTTTTATTTATATTTTTGATTTGAATTGTTATAACTAGGTAGGCAGGATAAAACATCAGAAAATTTTAGATGCTTAATGTTTACAGAAACAAATCCTGGTCTGCAAAAAAAAGTTGTTAAAACAGCATCTAGACTGAATTTAACAATAAAGAAACAAGAAACAAAACTTGGAACAAATCACTAAGCTACCTTTATTTTTAAATCCCCTATCTTCTTTAATTACATATGCTAGGTCTAAGCTGCTGGAGGTTTTAATCCCCTTCCCTTGGAAAAAAAAAAAAAACAAAACACAACCAACCCCTATCTTTGTTCTGTGTCCCTAAAGACGGTAATTATAACTTAGCACTTCTTACTTTGCTTATTGCTAAATAAAATAATTTGGTATATTAAAGGTACATCCTTCTGTCTTAAATGTACAGCAGGTCTTCTACAACACAAGCATTGGCTATCAACATGACATACAAAAATGAACTTGGTTAAACATCACAGTATGTAAAACAAAATCAACAATTCCAAACATACAAAGATCAAGCAGTTACAGTAAAATACACAAGAACTAAGACAGCACTCCGCATTTCAGCAGTAGAATGGAGGTCAGCTTACAGAAAACTTCTGTCTTCATTTCCATGAAAACTGACACTACCTCCATACATAGAAATTCTCATTTGGCGAGTAAAGAAACATGTACCTTATATATACAATTAAGAACGGATCTTTCAGTCTTATCATTTTCTGCTCCTGTAGTGTGAAGCGGCTGCAGCAAGGTCTTTAACGGCAAGGCCATTATCCAATCCAATAAGCACAGAAGTAAAGAAACCACCAACTGGAACAAACACTTTCAATTACAAATCAATTAAACCAGCACCTGCTACTTCACATTTATCACTGTATTTTACTTCTCCGTTTTACTTTTCTCAGTTCCGTAGAGTCGACCTTCTGCAGTAATGGCAGGTCATGCTTGTTTAAAAGCCACTGTATCCTCAAAATCTACGGCATCAGTAAAAACTTTTGCTACTGAGATATTTAACAAAGACCATCCCTACAACAGTTTCTCATCGTGGTAAGCCTGTGAGCAGATACTGTGCTTAAGAGGATATCCCTGATTTTTCAAAAATTCATTTGTAGGGTGCTGCTTTTAAAATGACAGATTACACAGGTAAAAATCAAGGCTGATGCACCATTCTGCACATAAATCTCACTGTAAAGTGAATCAAAGATTACACAAAACTGAACTACTTCAGCTTCATTTAGTGCTTTATTTTTATTTAAATAACACAGAATTCCCTTCACAATATGTCAATAATGCTACGCAGCATCAGGTACCATCTGAAAGAAATCCAACTGCTTTCTGTATTGTCGGCTACTCAGTCAGCAAAAGAACCAACTCCCTCTAGGGGATGTTGTTAAAGACTGTAGAACAGAATTAGATTAAGACACACATACACACCAAACCATTAATAACTTACTGGCTTCAAAAAATTATTTTTTATTTTTAAAACTTAGTTGTGGAAGAGGAAACAATTCAGATAAATAGCTGCAAGATTCTCTAAAATATTTCTTAAGTTAAGCAAAAGTCTTTCAAATAAAATCTACTTAACTAATTTACTAATAAATGACATATAAACATCACACTCATTTCACATAACACATTACAACTTTGTGTCTCAGAGGCACCATATAATAAACCTAATGATGAAGGGCTCTAAGTATTTTTATATTAAACCATTTTTTAAGCAACTTATTAGGCCTATGTTTGTCAAAACAGGTAAGCCAATTTTTAATATGATATTTGATGTACAATGATCAGCATTAGTTTATGGGGAAAATTTTCAGTTATGGGAAGCATCTTCATATGGAAAGGTGGCTAGCTTGGCATACTGCTATAGTCTGTAACAGCCACCCCCTCCTTGCAAGCAGAGAGGAGAGGCGAAACAGAATTCTGGAGGCCAAAATGAGCAACAGAGGAACACCAGCCCCTGTGGGAATGGGTGGCCCAGAATGACAGAGCTGCCAGCGACAAAGTGCACTGAAGGGCCCAGGTTTAAATGACCACTGTGACCCACAGTCCAAGAGCAAAGCCAAATAATTCAGAGGAGATACAGCCTTCCAGGAGGCAGAAAGTACTACAGTGAGCATCAAGTAAAGAAAGAGCTCGTCTTAGCGAGAGGACTCAGGCACACTGGAAACACAAAAAGATAGCAATCGTTTTGAAGGATGACAACAACGAAATTCATCTGGAGATTACAGGCTATGTTGCTCAAGAATGTATTTGCAATAGAAAGTGCAAAAATCATAACCTTATAAATACTTTGAAAGGTATTCCCTACAAGTTGAGAATATGTTTGTCACTATAAGACAAGTTTGAAAAATCTACGTTACTTCCTTCGCTTGTAAATGCACTGAGGATAAGGAAAAAGACTACTTTCTAATTAGTGAAAACAATCAATCTCAATTAATTTTAAATGCCTCTTTTCCTACAAAAACTGCAGACATTTACTTGCAGAAAGAATATTGCTGGAATTCTGCAAAGAATTCTGTACTTAAGGAGCTGAATCCCTACTTTAAGACAAAGCTTAAATTTTTCAACAATGTTATGTCACACACCCTTGCAATTAAATCGACACATTAAAAGAAATGAAACATGTTTACCCTCTTGTCCTGTTCATAAGAAGAAGCTTCTGTACTGGGTAGCAGATGGGTAATAGTTGCTATCAGAATCTGGGGAAAATATAGCATAGTTTCTTTTAAAATACAATTTAAATATTTAAGTTTAAAATAAATTTTTAGGCAAGCAAATGTGACCCAATACTAGATTCATGGTTAAATTCTATTGATGTTATTTTGAGACAAACTACAGTATTCCTTGCCACTTTTTTTTAAAAAAAAATAAAACTCTTTCAATTGAATTTCACAGAAGACATTGAAAGACTACGTTCTGCTTGACTGACATCAGTGTGTTAGGGACAATGAAATTACATAGGTACTCCAAATATTCTGGCAGGAAGAGAACTTGATTCAACACATTTGCAGGGTGCAGGAAAGAGCCTGATGTGGGTTTGTGTATGGGGCTACTTGAGCTCCATTATTTATTAGAACTATTAGAAATTGTAAACACTCTGCCTCTACTTAATCAACAATATGACTGCAGAGAAATGCTTGCTATACCTCTTAAGAGGCTTCCATAGAATTCTCTTCCTGGTTACCCGGGAGACCTCTATCTTTTCTCTGTGGTTCAGAGTCACAGGGGCCATAGTCTACTTCCTTGTTATTTAAAGTGTATTCAAAATAATTATTTTTGCTTTATACTGGAACACTTTGCATTAAAGTGTTTTGCATATGGATATGCAAAACACAATTGCAGATCCGTATTTTAAGTAATTATTTTCTCACTAATCTTAAATAAACATATTTGAAGATATTTAATATTAAAAAAAAATCTAGATTTTATTGGTAACATTCTCATGTATATAATGACATAGTTGTGTCTGAGAAAAATAAGCACAGTATAGTGATTTTACATGTAAATACCGGAGTCAGCAGTAAGTGTGATGTGAAAATTACTTACTTGAATAATTCTTAAAGGTGAATCAGCTTGATACACTTGAAGTCTATGTACATAATGTATCAGCATGTTCAGCATACTGCAGGCAACTTGGGCTACTGTTTTATTTGGAAACTAGGAAAAAGAACAGCACAGTGACAATGACTACGTGATTTCACATAAGAGTACATTAGCTGGTAAGGTGGTCAGTAATTTCAGTGACAGTTTTATACAAGTAGTTCCTTAAGTACCTATTTATCAGAGGAGTAGAATTAAATTTTACAAAATTTAAAAGGAATTAATTTTATAGTCATAAGCAAATGTTAGCAGCTAACATCAAAGGTTTGGGACAGACAATCAGGGAGTTGCACGCAATGATGAAACGGGGAGAGGAATCTTCTACCTAACTTCTGACTGCTTAGTACGGTATCATGAACCCAGGAAGAACTAAATCATTTCTTGTTACCTTAATGATTATTAGTATTAACGCATCACTGCAAAAAAACAAGGATTCAATTCTGAAATTAGAGGTCTTTGTTGAGAACCAAGGCAGGTGAGCAGCTGCGTATCCAAAATGCATGATGTGGCACTAATAGTGAGACTAACTTCTGTATTTGCTAGCGACTGCTGTGTACAGCACTTATCTGAATGGAAATGAATGCATCTTGGCTTCTGTGCTTGATTCCTCTTTCTCTGTTTTCTTTTAAAGGCAGGAGAACATTGCTGCACTGGAGCCTGCCTTCGACATCTACTAAAATGTTTAAGTTACTGTGTTGGTCAAGGCAAAAGTGAATGCATTTGCATAGTTACTCCCCAGCCTTGGGAGTAGATGCACATACTGCCCTACACTCCTAAGTGGGAAAATAAAGAAATAAAGAGACAGGGACACATTTCCCTAAATTGTTAATGCACAAGGCATGTAACTGAGGCTTCTTCCTTCCTTCTGCCTTAAAACATTAAGCTATGCACCAAACAACAAGCACAAAGTGAATTTTACACATGAATTTTATTCATCTGAGACATTAAAATCCTACAAATCTGAGCTAAAATCTGAACAAATTGTTATTAGCTTAGCAAAACCACAGATTTCAGAAGACAGCACAAACTACACAGAAGAAAAAAAAATAACATGCAACAGTCTCAAGGGAAGGGTTTCCAATACATTCTTATTCAAGAAAATACTGTCTCTACTGAAAACAAGTATTCCAAACCATACTTCGATGAATCTCAGATCATTCAAAAAACAATTACGTAATTCATGCTTTAATCAGGAAAAATCTTATTCTATTTCTCCAATGAAGATGAGTGACATCAGAATTCCTGCACTATTAAAAAGATAAAGTAGTTTACATGTTTTAATCTCACTTTACTTAGCAATGAAGCTGTCAAGAGCTGTGTGCTGCAAGGTGGCTAAGTGTCTACCTCTGAACTCAGAAAAGGGTAATTATGCTGCAAAAATACTTATATTTAAGAAAACAGAATAAGCAGCCAAGAATTAATCAGTCCAGTCTTATTAACCTTTCAGGGAGTAGTATATCTCACAAGCCTTAAAAAAAAAAAAGTACAGCGAAAGTACAGTGTAAGAGCACAGAAAGCAAGGTACAGATTTTAATGCTCAAGCTTGAGTGACAACCAAAAAAATATTAAATAAAACTGAAAGCATAACAATTTGATTACAGAACTTGAGATCAAATCAAGATTGCTGGAAACATCCTTACAAGCTTGCAGGAAAACCCTGAAGTCATTGAGGAGGACAAAAAGGGTGGACAAACCAGAGCAGCTTAATGTGGAGTATCCAGATCACTGAATTTAAGGAAAAATTACCTGAGAAAAAGGCCTGGAGACTTTTCAGAGTCTTTGAATAATCAGTTGTTCACTACTTAAAACCAGACATTTTCTTTATTTTGTGGGTTTTGTTTTTTTGTTTGTTTTGGGGGAGGATGTTTTGGTTGTGTTTTTGTTTTTTTTTTAAAGAGGATCATCAGGTTCTAAAATGAAGACAAGCGAATGATCTCTAGCGCTGGTTTATGCAAACTAGTTAACCTCTTTCTGTCCTCTGGTTGAAGATGTATTTATTTTTTTTTAATTTAAGAAAAGGAACAAAATTCAGTGGAGACTTAAATTTCACAGAAAAGCTGAAGGCTATAAAGCAATAAATACGAATAAAATTCATATCTTATGCACTCGAATTTTCTTATTCATAGGAAGAGTACTAGGTAGGAAGTTTTGATCAAGAATACAGGGATTAGTCCAAACAGATGAAATCCTTCATCTACTTGAGAAATCTGTCCCAGCATGGTCAATACATCACATTCCAAAAGAATGCGCAGTCACTTTATAAAACAGATACTTAACAGAACAGACACTTATAGAGCTGTGTGTCCTGGAAGGACATTTTCCTGAACTTGGGCAGCAACACTGAGTTTATGCTGGATAGCAAAATAATTCACCCCTTTCAAGTCAGCTGCTTTGTTCCAACTTCTTTTCCAAGGGCCTTCAGATGTGGCATAAAGGCAGCTGTGCAATGCTACAAATATTTCACCCACTATTCTCTATTTCTGGAAAACATTGTATGTTATAAAGCATAAGAATTCACTTCTTTTATATGATGTTATATTTAGTAGTGTAACAGACATAATTTTAAAAAAGTTACTCAACAGGTAAAAAAGAAAAGCTTTCAATGAACTGGCACTTTGCCTGGTACCTAACCCTTGGGGTTTTTCTCAGCAGGCTATTCCTCCCTATTTCAGAGTTTTGCAAGAGTCCATTGCTTTCTGGATTTTACATTTAACCTTGTTCATACTTGCAAATCATCTGTGTTTAGCACTCATTCATCTAAGCCTGTACAACACAATTTTGTGATGTAACTGCAGCATTTTTGAGAGGAGCATAATATAACCATGAGATGCAGGGGTCTGGATGGCTGGTTAGGATCCCTTGTGCTCAGACTTCAGCAGAGGTTAATACAGATACAGCAGAATCGCCACACTGCTGGGAGGAGTGCTAGCTGTATTCAGAGCAAGCTGCTGGACGGCAGTTCTGAATATGCTTCTGTATTTCAGCAACAGGCATATAATTGTTGCCAACATTTCTATTCAATGCTATTTGCTCAACTGTACTTATCAATAAGTTGGACTAGCTCCCTATCCATTAATTTATCCTGAAAATAAGAAAATAATCCATTCTGGGAGTTCAAATCTCCGACTACTTCGAAGCCAGGAGATTGCTTAGGTTACAAATTAGAGCTAATTTGTTTCTCCCATGATAGATTTATGAACTTTTCATTTAATGATTAAACTCTATTCTGAACGTATACAACTGCTCAGAACAGGAGAAAAGCCAACATGCTCTGGATGCTTTTGCCAACACAAAGCAAAGCAAAGTAGAAATATAAAGATCTTTGTCTGCTCATTTAAGAAGTAATTTATGTTTAATATAAATGAGATACAAATAATTGGTTTAATAAATACATCCAAGAAAAAATAAGAGAAATCACAGTGAATGTCAGGATTAAAAATAGTTCAAACTTTGATGAATTCAGAAGTAAGATAAAACCAGCACCATTTGCCCGATACCAAACTTGCACAGGAACTTGATAAAATGCAATAGTTAAGAGATACTAAAAAGCAAGGGGAAAACCCTGGAAGAGAGTATTAGTGAAGCTTCAAAGGATGAATGTGATTTTGCAAAACAGGAAATTGCAATTTAGAGTCTAACACTAAAAGCCCTGCAGCTACCCATTTTAGACATGGACTTAAATCCTGCTTCACAGGATGCGATCAGCTGATTCGCTAAGATACTTTTCAGATTCCCATTGCTGAAAAGAAAAGAATAGTTAGTTCATGACATCTGACACAAGCCATGTATAACAGGTGTACACCCAGATTTTTATCAATGTGTATATACAGAAAGACTAGACTATTCATTGAATTTTGACGTAAACAAAGAGCACGTAGAAAGGTTCTGAAAATAAACTGGGAAATATTTTAAAAGTTGAAGATACTGTTCATGAACATGCAAGTTTGCAAAATGCTAGAAAATAAAATGTTTATAATAATATTCTAATTATTCCATACAGTATGAACGAATAGGAAAAAGATTTTGCAAAAAGCAGGAAAACAAAAACACTCCTCAAGGGAAAAAAAAAGCCAAAAGAGTGCAGCTTTTTAACAGGGATGATGAACGGAAAACGGAATATACTGTTGATATACTACCACCAGCTCAAAATCTCACAACCAGAGTTGAAATTCAGTGAGATTAGTTTCAGAGCAGTGAAAACTGTCATTCAAAAAAAGGAAAGGCAGAAAAATGTCAGAAAATCTCTTCTATTCAGAAGCATTTTATAGGTGTTGCATCACAATGAACTAGCTGTGTCCGAGCAAGCTGCATTTCCAGGCGAGAATCTCTGTGCGTACTAGCTATGTTTAACAGATTCAATCAAATCAGCAAATACCAAGTCAGTAAATCATCATTCAAGAACAACATGTGAAGGTGTTTATACAGAATTGCATGGTGATTACTAGAGACTGTAAAGTTCTATGTTTCAAATTAGTTTCAGAACCACTGTACTGGGTGCAGGTGGGAAAGTTTTGGTAGTGGGGGGCTGTAGGGATAGCCTCCATCTGAAGAAGGGGCCAGGGACTCACTGCTCTTCTTCCTATGTTCTCTCCTCTCCTGCCAGGGGTGGCTGAGTGAGTGAAGGGCTGGGTGAGAGTTTGGCTTCTAGGTGGGGCCAACCCACCATATCCATTAAAAAAGAAAAGTTAAATCCTTCTGAAAAATTGTAAAATTACATAGTGTTGCAGTAGGCTTCATAAAAAAAAGGAAATAAATTTTAATGACAGCCATAAAAACAAGTGCTCTTTACTTTTTTACCAAAATTAGAGTTCTCATGATTCCCTTTCAACAGGTACTTTATTCACCTAAACTTTGATGCCAACTCTTGACCTGTCTTTGGATTCAGTTTTTTTCTAACAGCTACTGGCCTGAATGACATGTCCTGGAATGAGTACAGAAAAGTATGTTGCCACAGGAAGTCAAACATCCTCCAGCACTTCCATGCATGCAACATAAGTAATCTCCACCTCTCTCTAAATATCTGGCCAGGGCTGAGAATCAACACTGCATAACGCAATGACTCTTGAACTGAGAGGTGAACAGGCACAGAAAGTAGTGAGGATATAGGGATAATGGGATTTGATCAGTGGGGGCAAGAAGAGGCCAGGTGAGCAAGAAGCATGAGAAGCCTTAGGAAACTTCTGCTTGGCCTTTGCATTTGTCACTGTCCCACTTTGTCCTGTCCCCCTCTTAGGACTGCTCTGCTCAGTCTGACAGCCAAAGAGTACAAGGCAGCAACTTGGCTTGGGACAGACATTTTGCATATGATGGTAGATGGCTCAAAAAACTGGGATCCCTTCCAGTTTCCTCTCTACCTTGCCCTTTCCCTTTTGCAATATGTCAGAAGAATGTACCATGGAGGCTTTAAGAGTACTATTAATCAGAGGTGGGGAACCCAGGATGCCAATTAGTGAGGAATGTGACTTCCCTTGGCATCCATGGCTAGCCTAGACAAGAGATGCAAATGCTGGAGAAGGAAAGACTCCAACTTTTCTGCACTCCAGAGTCCTTGTATGGATCTGTACTGGGTGTACATGGCAAGGTTTTGGTAACAGAGAGGCATAGCGGGGTCTCTATGAGAGGAGGCTAGGGGCAGCCCCATGCCAGACACAGCAGGTTCCAGCCAGCTCTGCAATGGACCCACCAAAGGACATAGCTGAGCCCATCTGCCAAGTGCACAGTGCCTTTGCGAAAACATATTTAAGAAAGGGCAAAAACACCACACATGCAGAGAAGGGGAAAAAAGGGAACGAGAAACAGCAGGTGAACACAAAGGTCAGAGAAGGAGGAGAGTGAAGAGATGCTCCAGGTGCTGGAGTAGAGATTCCTCTGCAGCCTATAGAAAAGACCATGCTGGAGGAGATATCCACACTGCAGCTGTAGAGTATTCCACACTGCAGTGTTGGGTATTTCCTGAAGGAACTGCAGTCCACAGACAGCCCACACTGGAGCAGGCTTATCCTGAAGGACTGCAGCCAGTGGAAGGACCCACACTGGAACAGAGAGGAAGGAGAGGCAGAGAGGAACTGTTACGGACTTACTGTAACTCCCCATTTCCCATCCCCTCTGCACTACCTGGGAGTGGGCAGAAGGAGCGAAGCTGAGCCTGGGAAGGGCAGAAGGCAGGGAAAGGTTGTGTTTTAAATTTTGTCTTTGTTTCTCACTGCCCAAGTTATTTTAACTGGCGATATGTTAAATTAGTTTCCCCAAGTTAAATCTGTTTTGCCCATGACGGTAGCTGGTAAGCCCTGTCTTCATCTTGACCCAGAAGATTTTTCATCCAGTTTTCTTCTGTCTTGCTGAGGAGGGGGAGTGAGTGAGCAGCCGGGTGGGAGTTCTGCCCTTACCCAAGGCTAATCCACCACAGGCTCCTAGACCTAGTTACAAAACAGATGCAGAAAACCCTCCTGGAAGCTTGAGACCAGAGTGTGGGAAAGGGTACAGCTGGCCAAAGTCAGACAAAGCCAGTAGTGATTTGCTGAAACCTGAATTGCAAGGATTATTTATGAAAGCTGGGATGATGGATAAACTACTATTCTGCAAAGGGTAGAGGCTAGAATGAAGTGGCTAATAATATATATTAAAATACAGATCCACCATCTCATTGCCCAGCACACTGTTGCTCCAAACTTAAATAAGGTTAAAGATTTCTTAAAAGAGTTCAGAGATTCACCAGTTAAATTGAATTCAGTCTTTTTTAAGGACTGAAAATGAGACTGTGAAGTAAGGATGCTAAAATGTGATCTTGCCTTTGAAAAGGCAAAGCATCTTTAAACATAAAGGCAGTATACATTGTAAAAGTGTTAGTCACCTAACTCACCTTTAAAGAAACACAAATCACATTCAATGCTTCCTTGATCTGAGGATGATGTGATTCATGAACTAGCTCCTCACAGATCCAAATACCAAGGCTGCATAGTGCAACACACCTGCAAAACAATGTCGGAGGACAAGTTCTTGAGAAACATGCTACAAGAATGTGCAATTTTTATGATTCATTATATGCCTTGCTAAAATCTAATAAATACGTTTTTAATATTTCAAAAAGAACTGCACAAAAACTTTCATAATGCTGTAACTTATTTAAACATTAGAAAGAAATCGCAAGTACCCTGGTGAAGGCACAGGAAAGGACAAAGGAAGCACCCTTCTGGGCAACCGAAAAATCTCTATGTGCTTTTTGGATTAAAAATGCTACCTGAAATCAATGCATGGGAATTTCATATATATTTTCTTAAGACAAAGTAAAAATTGTGGGAGGTTCCTCCTCTTCAACATGAAAATTTGCTCAGATTTGTTTAGAGACAAGAGTGGGAACATTATTCATTCATAGATATTTACATCTTTTTAGATTGACAACAAACAAACACAAATAGAGGAAGGGTAAATGAATGCTAGAGACAGGACACATATTGTGATTAAATACTTCAACTTTTGTTGTTGTTTCTTCATCTAAAATCAGGAAATGGAAAAGAAGTGTAAAGGTAAACAGTATTTAGACAGATGAGTTCAAATCAGCAGAGATGGATGAAATTTGTTCAGAAATGTTAAGGAACTCGCTTAAGCAATTTCTGAGTCATTATTTATTATACGATTCATCATATAATCATTAATTATCTTCAAGAACACAGGCTGCAAATATTTTGGAAACAACTTCAGAATTCAAAATCCTCTGCATAAAATCGGAGAGCAGTCAAAAATCAACAAGATGAAAGCTGGACATGAGAACTGCAAAGCATTACATCTGGGAAGGAAAAATCACATGCTAGAATAGAAACAGAAGTCACTATGAAGTCTGTGCTGTAGAAAAAGGATTTTAAGGCTACACAGAATCATGAAACTGCTAACAAGTAGCAAAAATACACCTTGGAATTAATTCTATATAATAGAATCATAGAATCATAGAATGGTTAGGGTTGGAAGGGACCTCAAAGATCATCTAGTTCCAACCCCCCTGCCATGGGCAGGAAAACCCTCCATTACACCAGGTTGCCCAAAGCCTCATCCAACCTGGCCTTGAACACTTCCAGGGATGGGGCATCTACAACTCCTCTGGGCAACCTGTTCCAGTACCTCACCACCCTCAGAGCAAAGAATATCTTCCTTTAATCTAAATCTGCCCTCTTTCAATTTAAAGCCATTGACCCTTGTGCTGTCACTACATGCCCTTGTAAAAAGTCCCTCTCCAGCTTTCCTGTAGGCCCCCTTTAGGTACTGGAAAGCTGCCATAAGATCACCCCGGAGCCTTCTCTTCTCCAGGCTGAACAGCCCCAACTCTCTCAGCCTGTCTTCATCGCAGAGGTGCTCCAGCCCTCAGATCATCTTCGTGGCCCTCCTCTGGACCCGTTCCAGCAGCTCCATGTCCCGTTTTGCACACTGTCACTGAAATCTCAATTGCAAGACTGTCTCCATTACATTTTGATTAATACAATTTAAGAATAAAGACAAGCTTGAGGGAGCTGAGGAAAAAAGTGACAAAAATAATAAACAGCTTTGGGGAATATTACATATGGAGGAAATGTTGAAGGGTGTACCGAGCCTAGATCACAATTAAAGAAGGAAATTATAAGAAATCTTCCGACACGCAGTAAGTTACTGAAGAGTTTAATTTCCAGTAGAAAAGATTTCTCCTACATACTGGTGCCACAGGATCAGTTACAAAGTTCTGAACCACATGGATTTAAATCACCTTTTCAAATGCAAAGTGGAGAGTGTTATACTTTTTAGAACTCAATGTAAAAGAACATAAAAAATGAAATTAAAATTATCTCAGGACATTCATTCCTTTCCCTGTGTTGAAAGAGATTACCACCTCATCTGAAGAACAGGTAAGCGAGCTGATGAAAACTGTTCTTTGTTTTTCAGCAAAACATTTAACATTCAATGAACTGATCTTTCCAGCCATTTTTCAAGTCTGTGGTTCTAGTATCTTGCATTTGTTAAGTAACAATTTATTAATTGAGCATATATAGACACTCCATTCACGCAGACAAGGCACACAAGTGTTCTCTTCCTTGGTAGGCATTATAGATTCGTGTTCCACTCCCATATACAGGACTCCATAACTGAAAGCCTCAGGGGATGGGTAAGGAGGAACAAAATCCTAAGCATATTAAAAAACAGAAAACTGGTAACTATCTTCTTCTTTGAAGTTCTCTATTTGATGAAGATGCTTAGCTTTAAGCATCAGAGCAATCATTCCCAGTTTAATGCTTAGCTCAGTGTCTTTGACTTCTTTTCCATACCCTAAAGAATGGCTCATGCACCTCGGGTTATTTCTGTTTTTCAAATTAAATCATGCGATCTAATAAAAAATAAATGTACCTCCCTCATAAGTAATCTTGTCCTTGGCAAACTCAAAAACGCCTCTAGTACAGAAAATCCCTGAGCTGAACACCACGGTAGGCTGGGAGAGTGTAGGGCTTATATTCTTACCCATATTAACACCCTTTTCTATCACCCACTATCAGAAAAAGGATACTGGGCTAGACCAGCATTTGGTCTGACGAAAAATGTCTGTTATTATTGCTATTTACAAACAATTTCACATTCACATGTTAGACCACAATTTTGATAGTGGCAAAGAAAATCATGAACGAATCACATGCAAACTTTTACTTTAAGCTCTTCAATATATCCAACTCAAAGCAGTATAATAAAGAAAAAAAAATCTATTAATTAAGAAGTTCTTTTTGTATGACCTACCGTGCAGGACCAGATGGCTCCTCTCTTGCTGAACTTAAAACAGTTTTAATTATGAGTTCCTAAAACAAAATGGAAAATATTCACTGATTTACCAATAATTCCATGACATGAAGCATCAGAAAACTAGAATTTTATTATAGCACACACAGGCATGTCGCTTAGCTGAGTCTCTTGGTTTGTGGTCAGATGGATTGTTTGCTTAACACTGCTCCAAGCTTCTAGTCTGCCTCAGACGCTTATTATTGTGCTAACCCAGGAATATCCCGCAGGTTACTGTTCTAATTTCTGCTGATTAACCATTTATCCAATTCTTGCCAACACAGTTCCATACAATATCAAGGGTTAAAAAAAAAAAAAGCCTCCCTAAAGCTTGCTTCTGTGAATAGCCCTGAAGGGTATTACAGAAACTATCTATTAATTTGAGGTTTAAACAGCAAATTTTTCCCCTCCAAAATTATATTGATCTAAAAAGTCTTTGGAAGTAGTTGCAGAAGAAGTGACTATAGTGCCTTAAGAATGTTGTCAAGAAGAATTCTGACTCAACTACAGTGGAATGTCCATAAAGCTGTAGGTTGCTCTCAATAAAGCTCAAGTAAACTGTCATTATGCAACAAAAATGAGAAAGAAGAAATTAAAAATCAGTCCCCAAAACGGAGCAAGGTGAAAGCAGCCTCCAAGACATCGTCTCTCTCTAAACTGAAACAGTTTGGAATCTTCTGGGAGCCTTTCTTAGACATGGTAATGATATCTGACACACATACAGCAATTAAAACACATGAACTGAACTCTGCTCGGTTTCAGTATGCTGGCACACTACCCAACTCTGTTTTATGACAGAGAGGGTGAGGTCTCCGTTAATCTTTGCTTTTTGTCTAAAAGAACCTACTGATGTACAGAAGATTTCTAAAGCCCCTAGGAACATGGGCAGATTTCACCAGTTGTGAATTCTCAATAAATTAAATAATGTATCTTGAACCTCTCAATCTTCTCCTTCTCAGTTGATCAAATCTGTGAGACTGCAAATAGCCATAACGTGAGTAGGCACATCATTTTCTTTTACAAACATATGAAAACACTTTATTATGAAGTTAATAGCAATTATAAAGTAGGTTTAGTAGTGTAAAGTTTGACAAGACTTTATGGGATCTTGAGTCTTATAATCTATTTGAAATGATTTCTGAAAAATTTTAGACTCTCAAGATTTTAGTTAATATTTCCTGGAACAACATCAAATTAAACATATACTTGGTAGTATATACTTCATATAATGAATACCATCCATATGTTCTTAAAATTCCTACCTTAACATCCGTAAACTGAGACACAGCAATGTCAGGAATGTTTGGGTGAAGAGCTGGGAGTTCATGATATAAATTAGGAAAACAGACTAGAGATCCTAAAAGAACTTGTGCTTCAACTCTTGGTGCCTACAAGAAAAAAAGGTGGGAAGAAATACGTATTCTTACTGCAATCAGGAAGCTGACGTTTCTAGCTGAATTTAAAGAGAACAGTGGCTGAAATTCTACACAGTCATTTCCTTTCTCCTTCTGCAAAGTCTGTAGAGCTGAGCAAACCAAGACCACAGCCCCATGAATTGCTATTCATGCACATCCCATGTTCCCATTTTTGAAGATGGTCAAAAGGAAGGAGAGGAATTGCTAGGTCTACAGACAAATGACTGTGCTGTGAACTAGGCTTGGGTCTTAGGTTTGGATAATTGAACAGGATGTGGAAAACTACTGGACATGATGTGAGGCATTGCTGGACTTGACAGCTAACAGCGTAAGAAGATGACAGAGGTTTCAGATAGTACTGTAAGGGAGGCTGGATTTCACAGTTGGTTAAAGGGGGAATGACGTGAGAAACAGCCAAAACTCACAGACAATTGGAGGGGAGTACTGGGGAGCTTTGAGAGAGTACAGTCGTGCAAGGCTGACAGCACCTAGGTACTCATATCATCATAACATCAGGCTGAAGTTGCCTGGGTAACAATAGCAGAAATACATCCAAATAGTGCAAACACTAGCAGATTTGAATTCTCAAGCCTGATCATCAAAGACATTGCATAGCAGAGATATGGAGGAATAAATATACTTTTAAAACAAAGGTACAGTCAAAATGGACATTTCCTTTAAAAAATTTTAAAGCACAGATAAACAGCAGTCACAATTCTGAGAACTGAAGTAAAAGAAGATTCTCTGCTTCAACAGTAATTTTTGCATTCTTCACAGTTTCTGGAGAGGACTTGCATGTGTAGTGTTCTTGAATAAATTACTGATAGTATGTGTATTTGCTAACCATTACACATTGACTTCTGGGGACAAGTTAACACCCTACAGTCAAGGCAAAATACTGCTCAGTTTACTCTCAAACCCTTTCCACTCGCACATAAATGAGAATGAACTGATGAATACTCACATTGAGGAAAGAAGAAGCAGCCACTCTTCCTGCTGCTACAATGAAATCCATAATAAGCATGGTGGCACCAGGCAAACCAAGTGAAAAGAACTGAGGAGAGCAGTGCTTGATGATTGTATTGACAATATCCTTGCAGAAGAAAAAGAGAAAAAAGGAAAAGAGTAGCAACAAGATCCACAATGAATGAAAAAAAAAGGCAGACAGTAAAAAAACAAGAAAGCAAATTCACTGTGGCAATTAAGACATTATTCATTACTGAGCAAAGAATAGCATAAAAAGACTGGAGATCTGTCCTATCCATAGCCATCTGCGGAATAATTTTGGACTAGCTCTGTTTTGCCCAGGTTAATGAAAACAGGGTTGTTTGAACCCTATGTCTCTTAACTGCTCCTTAAAAAAGTTCACAAACCCAATGTTTTCACACTTCTGATGCAATCCTTTAAAAGGAGTGTTTAAGCCACACAATATTTCCAGACTTGTTCATATTAAAATCTATGAAAAAGATCTACTCCCACTGATTAGATATACTTAATATATCTCAGTTTGCTGGCTCCTACACTCGCTGTAGAAATAAACTACTCCAATGTAGTGAGCACAATTTATTTTCCTGCTAGCTATACTAGGGAAAGCACGTAAGAACAGTAGAATTAGAGAGATCTGCTTCCTTCTCTTTCTCGCATGCTTCAATTTGTAACATACAATCAGGAAAAAAAAATTTAAAGAATACCTTTTTTGCCCTCATATTTGCTTGAAATGGACTACAATATAAGCATTTCTGATTACAACCAAGAACATGAGGGTCATATATCAAAGTTTAGAAAAAGGTATCAGTCACATAACCATTTTCAAAGACAAAGTCAAATTACTCAGCTAAAAATCCATTCAGTATTTTCAATAAAAAAATGTTAATTTTAGTTCTATTATTTATATTAACCAGAATTTCATTATTAAACTTACTTGATCAACATGGAGAAGTCCACAGTGCATTATATTGTAGAAATGAGTTAAAAAATCCCTGTTTGGAGAAACATCTTGTCTTCGCTTCATTGTCTTACAAATGAGTTTATAAGCATGTAGCTTTCCTTGTTTGTATTTATCAGTCAGCATTGTTGCCTACAGTTTTAGAACAATATTTATTATTTATAAATAAAAAAATTACATTAAACACGCTCTTACTGTTTCATTTCTGTTTCACTGCTTAGTGCCCAAATTTACCTTGAACAGCCACGGTGTTAGAATTCTCAGTGGTGGAATTAAAACTGGTGGAGATGGTGAAGTTAGGTTATCTGTTGAAATACCAAGATTATCTCTTATCTGCAATTATTAAAAACAAAGCAAAAAGATAAATATTTAAAGGGAAATCTATAAGGCGGTGTTTTTTTTCCTTCTGAAAATCCTGCCATATCAGGTTGGAGAAGAGGTTCAGTTCTTTTACCTTGGCCAGATTCTGCCACAGTTCACACAGGTAATCAAAAACCTGAGCATGAATCTCTGGATCCATGATGCTGTTAACATCTCCCAAAATTCCTAGCATTCGCCTCCACATCACAGTAGCAACATCTGCATGCCATCCTGTAAGTGTTCCCCCAGCCATCACGCTGCAACATTCTGAGGGAAATTCACTAGTTTCTGTAATGGAAGAAAAAAGTATAGTGAGATCTACCTCTTTCAAGAAAGAAAAGTTCTGATATAACTATCACATACATAGTTTCCTTAAAACCAAAAAGGAAAAAAAAGACCAGGCTTTCAGAGTAAGATATTTCTTACTCATTCAGCCACCTCAACACTAGAAATGTTTAACTATATGTCTACTTTCAAACTCTGTAGAGGAAGAATTGTCCTGTTTCTTATATTCTTTCTATAAGCAAATATTCAAGTCCATAAATAACTTCTGGAGCCTAAATATTGGTCTGATGGACCTAGTAAGGCCACTCCTTTTGTAAGCACTGTCTTACATTCTTTGGAGTCAATGAATCTCCAGAACTTCGCTTGCCTGTTTCCAAGTAAAATTACATTTCAACTTTACACTTTTCCCAATAAAAAATAAAGATGATTTTCCTTAGAATCTACTAGGAATGTTATTTTATTGCAAATTGAAGAGACAGGTGAGAGTAAACTTGTCTCTGGCTACTGTTCTTTAAGCAGTAAATTTGTATGGGTGGAGAGGCAACATTCGGTAACCTGGCACCACAGTCTAACTCTCACCTAGCTCTCTCTACACATCAATGCTATACGAATGAACATTCTTTTTTAGGTGGAAGATGTTTAATCTACTTTGTCCATACAAAGAAAACTTCAATAGATTACAATGGCTAGAGTCTACTCAGTCCACACTTAACTAAAGAGCCACACTAAACTAGCTAAAGAGTCACAGTTCTAAAGCAGCAGGCATCTTGAATCCTTTCCACCCCTCTCAGGTAGATTTTCAAAACACCTCAGCACCAGAATTTGCTGTTATCTTCTGAAAATCTGGCAGCTCCTACAGGCATACAAAATCAAAATGAAATCTGAATTCACCCTAATGACAGCCTCTTCTTTTGAAGATCTGGACCACTGTGATAGAGACACTAATGGTTTCTAGCCTTTGGATTTCAAAATACAAACCAAAATGATGGTATTTCTGTCCATCAGTAAGCTACCATAAAGGAAAAGGGTTTAAAATATACATTAGATACCCTTCTGTTTTCAGGAGACCAAATATGGGAGATACGGGAATTTCATATTTTTAAAATGAATGTATCCTAGAATTCAATAGCTAAGATAGTGGAAGTAATTATAAATTTGTTTAAATACGAAAGGGAAAACAACTAATGTTCCAAGACGAAATTATAATGTTACTTTAAAATCACATCTTATTACTTGTACATCAATGATAAAACAGTCTATGGCAGGACTATATACTAGATTAAGCTACCATGACTAAGCATCAAAAGAGCAATTATTAATGTGCGGGCTATTAATCTACTGCTAACAGTTCCAATGAAATGCAAGATAAAATGCAAAAGGTTTTTGTTTGCTTTCAAATCACTGTATTTAAATATTTTTAAAAGCGCAGATGAAATAGCCTTGTATAGAGATAACTACAACTAATGTGATACTAGCTACTTCACTATATGGCATCGGAGAGAAAGAAAGAATAGGTTTATATTTTCTATTTCAGATATTGCCTAGGTCATCTGGCGTCTGTAAAACAGAGTGGTGGAGCTTCTCATCCAGCTGCAGATCCTTCTGCTCAATATGATCTGCATGAAGAGTGGCAGGAGAGGGTGTCTGTGATCGGGATCCAAGAGCAGATTGGATTGGAGAAGCACTTTCAGAGCCTGCAAATGCAATTTTTAACAGTTACCTTAAAAGACTTTTCTATTTTCTTGAGCTACTGAAATGTTGTCTAAACATAGCATTAAAAGAAAACTGAACTGCTTTTATATATCAAATCTGGGCAAGAAAAGGTATAAAAACTGTAAGCAGATCTCCCTGTGAATGGTGCTCTGAAGAAAATGACGTACAAACAGGAAAGCCAAGAGATGAACATAAAAATCAGAAAGGTAAATGGAAACAGAGATCTATTTTAGTTCCAAATAATTGTAAAGCAGGAGTGTTATTTCCTCTAGGACAGGAAAATACAAGTATTTGAATGGCAGTGCTGCAAAGGCATTTTTTGACTATCACCTCTGAGCAACATCCTCTCCAGGCAACTATTTGGTCTCCTCTATTGAGAGATCTGTGGAGGGGGAGCAGGTACTTGTAATTTTCTTCTGCGCTACCTTAGTTTCATTTCCTGAATTTGCCTAAAAGTTATTATAAAAAGCTGAGTTCAGTCAGAACAGTCAGATGGCAGAAAAAAAGAGAACAGATATTCACCACATACTTCTCTACATATCAGCACATATTAAAATGGAAGAATTCAAACCCCTTAACTCTTAGATAAATATAACTGGGACCTAAAAATATTATGATGATACGTAAAGTTCAGTATTAGAGATAAACTGAACTTCAGGGACAGCAATGAAAAACAAATTGTTTAAAGAACTTGACAGAAATTGTCAGTGTTATCAGAACAGAAGTTGTGGTAAACAAACTTAGTTACGCAGAGACCTTTGGAGTCTAACAATCTGATTTAAACAGCAAAGGTAATGAAGCCTTTAGCATCAATTTAAATCAACATCTCTATGCAGGAGAGAGGGACGCTACTGCTTCTCACACACACTACTGTTTTACTCAACAGATAATGATACTCTCCTCTCGCTACTAGTCACTTGTTTTCCATGTGCTGACAAAGATAACGTAAAATACCGACTTCAAAGATGTTTAAAGAAATCTTTTCCTACTTCTCTTCCATTCTCCTCACTAAATAGGGGGATGGATGAAAGTAGACCGCGAGAAAGAGTGATGGGAGAGAGAGGGGTAGAGAGAGAAGGAGAGGGAAGGAGAAGGAAAGAGCAGGCAGGGGAAGAAGGAGGGGAAAGAGACCTTCACATGATGGAAGAGAATGGACAGAAATAATTATGGAAAACTCGCTTAACTACTGGAGTCTTCTAAGAAGCACTAAAAGATACTCCAGCATACATGGATCCAAATTTGACGGAGAATACTATGGGTTCAACTTGTTCTAGGGCTAGTAAACAGCATTCGATAGTAAACAAAGAGATTTTCCTTTCAAAAACCTCTAAGGCAAAACTAGAAGCAGCAGAATCACTGAAAATTCATTTCTTACAAGTGTGTTTTGAGGTTCAGCTTCTGCATGGATTTGCTGGTACCTAATATAGTGAATTCACACTGCAGCCTCCCTGTCACAGGACTCTGCATACATGCAATTTTCACTAGATAGCTGCCTATCTTCCATAAACCTTCGAAAAAACAATGTCTTTCTGTTTTCTTCCTGTATGTCAATTTAGCAAAAATTAGACAATGGGCTCCAACATTGTGGGCTGCGTAGAACAGTCAGACAGACAGACAGTGTAACTGCACAAGTCTTGCTTCCTCAGGAAACCCAGCGAAAATGCATGTGACACAAAAGCTGCCTCTCTACAACAGTGGTCCAAACAACAAGAGACAGCCACAGAATCTCTCAATGGACAACTCAGTCATTAATTGCAATCTTATCAATTCAGTTATACTGCAAACTTGGACAAAAATACCAAACAGTAATGAAATTATTAACATATAAAACAAACAAACAGAAAACAAGTTTTGTGTGAGCACACAAACAAGAACACAGCAAAGAGAAAAACGAAGAGAACAAAAGTCAAGCTGAACATTGTGGAACAAGCTGAACAACAATGTTCAAGAAAGTTAATATCATGCTTCTTTCAGAAGAAAGACAATTTTAGAAAGTGGAAATTGTGGCAGGGGAAGTAAAGATGTCTTTCAGTATCTCTGAAAATGCATAGTTTGATTTCTCACAGAGAACAAGACACTGTATGTAGGTATAAGCTTTCACTGATAAACAGGTACTTGTTCCCAGGATTGTACCAGGAATGGTAGTGCGTAAGAGCTACAGAAGGAGGAGTATGAAAATGACTATGGACATCTTTACTTGTCATTTAAAAAACCTGGCAAGAGACTGTTCTTTCAAATATTCATCTGAAAGGGAGATTCTCTCTCTCAGAAAGGAGCTCGTTCAATTTGCATTAACTGCATTGCTTGGCGGTTGCCAACTTAATTGTCATTCTCTCTCTCAAGAAACAGCTGCAAAGAAAACTGGTGGAGCCTCAAGCTCATCAACTGAGGCTGTCAAATACTGCTTCCTAACAGGCTTTCTTTTTCATGAAAACGACAGGGAAAAGTGCTAAAAGAAAAAGAATTCTGAAGTTACACAAATGCAAACTGATCTTACCTGGCACAATAACATTTTGCATATTAAAAGCTCCCAGTTACACAACAGACAATATAGAGAGAGGTTAAGATGGATATATATAACAAAATCCCATGACACTTCAGTGTGATAACACTGGTTTAAAAGAGCACTGTCAAAGCCTTCCAAGGAAAAAATCCTTCCTGAAAATTAGCTGTTTGACTACCAGTAATAGAAGAACACTTGTAAGAGATCTAGCATACGTTATGTGGTAAGAGTTTTCCCTCTGGTAATTGAATAGATTTTCTCATGAAGGGTTTAAAACACATTTAGCACCAAGCCAAGGATCATATGGGTAACTAAGTCAGACAATGGTTTTCCACTTATGTTATTTCACACATTACTCTCCAATAGCAATCAAAAAATAATTGAAATCCAAGAATCATCTTATATAGAATATAGATTCATTGCAAAAGCTGGAACTTGCATTCTTTAAGATGGGTGGAAAATTTCTCAAATAAATGCGCTTTTTTTAGTGTTTTTTTTAACTACTTTACCAGTAATAGTTGCAGCTTCAGCAGACAATGGTTGCTGATTGAGACTACTTGTTTCTGAATCTATGTGGAGTGTAGTCAGACTGGCCACTTCTTGCTCCTCAGCACTCTGTTGCTGTCCTGAAATTGCATCAACGTCAGTGGAAGCTGGTGTCCCCGCCTCAGTGCCAAAGCTGAAATCTGTATGAGGAAAGCACTGTATTAACTTACAACCTAAAAATACCACTAATATAAAATCCAAAAGCCTAGCACCTCCAAAATTCCCCATGTAAAACTTCTATGTGCACCTCCTATGCTACTAACACACTATTGCAAAATTTACATAAAATATAACAGTAGAAAGTAATAAAGTAAAAATAATGGACACATGCATTAAGGAATTTATTTGCAAAATTTACAAGCTGGAAGAAATATCCCAGTTGGTTGTTAAAGCCCTAACTTCAACCTAAAAGTATTATGGCAAATGATATTCTAACAGATGTTTTTTTCAATACTAAAACCAAAATGTCATGCTGAAATGTAGGTTTAAATAACATCACTTAGTTGCATAACATCTACATATGTAAAAATTGTAATTTCTTCAGTAAATTCAACCATATAAACATAATTTCTCTCATATAATACATGAAGTCATAATTCCTAGCAATCATAATGACCTCTTTTGCTGATCAAGAGTGGGAAAGGATAAAGGAAATGAATGAAAAGCATTATGTTACTAAACAAAGCACATTAATTTTACCACAATATTACACTTAGTATCTTGATCAATCTATAGCTACACAAAGACTGCTGCAACAGGATCAGAAGCCCTGTTGGGGGAGTTCCTGGCTACTACAATAGAAAGCACCTGTGCCTCGTTAGGACCGGTGCTGTGAGTCACGTTGGTCAGCCGGAAACCACGTGACTCATGGATGAATAAAGGTGGGGCACTCCCAAGAGGGAGCGGGGCATTTCCCTCCTGGAGACTGGAGTGATAGGAGCCCCTGGAGAGCAGCATCTTGAAGCTCTCTGTTGGAAGCCTTTAGTTGTGACAAGGACCTTTGGAGTGAGTGTGACAAAGCCTTCTGATATACGAGGAAGATCACAACAACCTTCTGGGTTGTGATCCCCGAAGATTGAGACACCAGTAGTCCGCAACAATTGGTGACCCCGACGTGATTCGTCGGAACAGGAACCACTGGGACTGCAGAA